GAGAAGGATGCGGAAGCCGCAGCCTCATGCTGGACCGCAGGACGTGCCTATTCGGAAATCCTTTATGCTGCCTCGGGACGGCACTGTCTTGGAGAGCGGCTGGGAGGATTGGTCCAAGACGTCCCCTTCAATGCAGACAAGGCCTTTGACCGCCGAGGGGCGCCGGGTCTATGTAGTTGTCTATGGCCTATGGGACCGAGCTTGGAGCTTTGGAGCAGCATGAAGGAGACGATCGCTTTGCCGACCTCGATGCCAACCGTGATCGAAAATGGCAGGCTCTCCCACGAGAGCTAAAGCAAGCGATTCGCCGAGTACATGTCAATTTGGGACACGCCTCAACGGCAACGATGCTCCGAGCGATGCGTCTTAGCCGGGCATCCGAGACCGCCATCAAGGCCACCAGGCTTTTCCGTTGCCCCGGCCGGCACCACCGAGACCGAGCAAGCTACCCGTGGCTGAGGAGTTCAATGTGCAGGTCGGTCTGGACGTGCTGCAGGCAAGTGACGCTGACAATGCACCGTGGAGTTGGCTGAACATTGTATGCCAAGGGACCACCTTTCAAGTTTGCGCTCTCTTGGGCAACACCCACGCAAACCCAACTGGAGCGGAGGTCCTGGCAGCCTTTTCGACACACTGGCTCAGCTGGGCTGGATACCCCGAAAGGGGGGTGGTGACAGATCGGGCGAAGTACTTTGTGGCCGAGTTTGCGGAGGAGATGGCAGCCCACGGATGCTACTTCGACACGTCTGCCCCCCCACCTTGGCAACTGGGGCAGATCGAGAGACACGGAGGCCTGTGGAAGGACACGTTCAAACGTGTCGTCTGGTCGGACCAACTTGCCGGCTATGAGGACATGCTGCTCGCCACGGCCCTCGTTAACCAAGCGAAGAACGCCTTGGCGCGCCGCGGAGGATTTTCTCCGAACCAGTGGGTCATTGGGCGACAGTTGCGTTTGCCCGCCGACCTGGCCGATGATGATGAAGTGACTCGTGTGGGCGCGCTGGCTTTGGCGGAGACTGCGGGCAGCCGTTTTGAGAGGAAGGCACGGCTACGTGCCAGAGCTCGGGAAGCCTTCCTTCGAGCTTCCAACTCCTCGGCACTACGGCGGGCCGAGCTTCGACATGTTCGGCCCACGCGTGGGCCTTTCCCTGTTGGCGCCTTCGTCTTCTACTACGACTCTACTGGTGGCAAGCGCGGCCCGACGTGCTGGAGAGGCGTGGCCCGAGTCATTGGACACGAAGGTTCAAGGACAGTGTGGCTATCGCACCGTGGCATCGTAGCACTTGAGCCGAGCCTACTCTGAAGAGGCCCGGCAATGGATGGTGGTCGGCGAGGAAGAGAGCCTCATCGACACCACCCCCGCGGCAGGAGGCACGGGATTCATAGATTTACGAAAGCTACCGGCCCCTGAACCTGCCGACTTCGAGGCGCCTGCGGCGGAGGAGGAAGGGCACGAGAACGAGCCCGAGGCACCAGAGGAACAACCTGAAGAACTTCTTCCGCAACCACCTCGTGAATCAGGCGCCACCTCTTCGTCGACAGCCCGCGGGGAATCCGAACGGGATGCAGCCAGAGCGGTTCGCTCGAGCGAGTTTTTCAAGAGGCGAGAGAGTGAACGGCACGAGGAGCGCGAGAGAAAGCGGAGGACTTTGTCACGACCGAGCGCTTCAGCAGCCGATGTGCCAGTTCGCGAAGAAGAACATGACGATCTCGAGCTGGACGAGTACGAGCCGGACCGCGACGACTATACCACCCGCACAGGCCACGGCGGCAGTTGAGCCCGATCGTGGAGAACGCCGACACCGAAGCGCAGGAGCGAGAAAGCAAGCGACTTGGAGCAGCCGAAGGTGCCGGCGACGAGGCTTTGTACAACAACGAGGGCCACACGTTTTCCTACTTGGCTGTGGCCGTCGACGGGTTCTTGGACGACCGTGCGCGCGAGAACTACCTGAAGTACGAGAGCGCTTACCTACAGCATGAGGTGACGATTCGGGACTACATGTTCGGCGTCCACCGGAACGACTTCTCGGAGAAGTACCAGGCCCTTGCAGCGAACGACCTTCCGGCGGACGGCGGGACGAAGAAAAGGGGCCGGAAAGAGCTAAAGCTGAATGAGGTGGACCAGCCAACGAAGGAGCTCTTCACTGGACCGGGCGGCTCCGATGAAAAGGAGTGGCGAGCCTGGCTTCAAAAGGAGGCTTGTGAAGTGTTGAGCCTTGAAGAGAGCCGCCGAGTCAGAGCACAGAAGCCCGACTTGATCGTCCCCACACGTTGGGTGAGGACAAACAAGAGCGACGGGCTAGTGGACCAGCCCTTTGTTGCGAAGTCCTGTCTCGTTGTGCAGGGGTTCAAGGACAAGTCACTTGGCTTCTACCGGTGCGACGCTCCCACGGCGTCGGCTTTGGCAGAATCTGTGTGCTTGGCCATGTGCGCCTATATGCAGTTCACCTTGTTTGCCAAGGACATCAAGAATGCTTACTTTAGCGGGAAGTCTGTGGGACGCGAGGTTTACCTGGAGCCACCCCGGGTGGACTTCCCGGAGTACAGCCAGGGCAGCTGTTGCTGGCGAAGAAGGCCATCTACGGCTTTGCGGAGGCGGCTCGCCTTTTCTGGCTGGCGCTGAAGGAGCACCTCGAGTCGGACGGTTGGCGCGAGAGTCGCTTCGAGCCAGCCCTGTTTTACTTGAGGGTCGAGTCCAAGCTCCGAGGCATCCTGGTTACCCACGTCGACGACATCGAGGGCGGCGTGGCGGACGGCTACCTGGAGAAGGCGTTCAAGAACTCAGCGAAGGCCCTGGAGTTTGCCACGAACCACGTGCGAGACTTTATCTTCCGTGGCAGGGAGGTGAAGCAGAACAGCGAGGGCCACGTGGACGTGACCATGAGGAACTACGCTCTGTCGATGAAGACGGTGAAGATCGACAAGGAGCGGCGTTTGCAGTTGGACCAGGAGCTCACCATCCTCGAGATGGAGATACTGCTGAAGTCGGCGGGCGAGTTGGGATGGATCACCCGACAGTTGAGATGCGACTTGGCTTACGAGAACGGTTGCATACAACGATGTAAAGCAGAAAGCTGTGTCGGCGACCTGGTCAAGCTGAAACAGTTCGTGGGCCAGGCCAGGAGAGGCGCCGACATGGGCCTACGGTTCTGGCGGGACGTCTCTCTCTACGAGATGGCGTCTTGGTGCACCTCGCGGACTCCGGCCATGCAAACGGCACGCCGGAGAAGAGCGACACAATGAGGTACCGCAGCGTTGGCGGCTACTGCCTGCTGATCGCCAACAAGGGCATCCTCGAGGGGAAGACGGTTCGGGCCAATATCTTGGCCTACCACTCGGGAGTTACCAAGCGAGTGTGCAGAAGTACGCTGGCTGCAGAAGCCAGCCACTTGGCGGAAGCAGTGGAGGCCGGCGACTGGCTGGCCGTTTTGCTTGAAGAAGCACTGCACGGCGACATCGACCTGAGGCGTTGGACCGAGGCCGTGCAGAAGCGGGAGCGGGTCTACGTGACGGACGCCCGTAGTGTTTTCGACTACCTCAGCAAGGACGCTTCTTCGACGAGCTCAGACAAGCGGATGGCGATAGAGGGAGCTTTGCTGAGAGAGACAGTGAGGCAGCCTGGAGCCCATGTGAGATGGATCGACGGGATGCAGAACTTCGCGGACGTCCTGACGAAGTACGGAGCGGACAAGGGCGAGCTCATGGAGTTCATCCGCACCGGCATGATATCCCTGGTGCAGACCGACGCTAACCGGGCGAAGAAGGAGAAGAAACAAGCTGAAAGACAGAAGCAGCGAGCTTCGAAGAAGGACGAGGAACAAAGACGACGGCTCACTGCTCTACGACGACAGCGTGTGGCAGCAGAGGCTCAGGAGCTCAACGGCTCCAGCGGCTAGACCAAGAAAACAACAAGGAGTGTGAAGCCAGCCCTGAGTCTACAGCCTGAGTTGGTCTGAGCATGTGCTTTCATGTGTGAATGCGCCGGCGTCTGCAGTCGGCCCAGAACACAGACGGTGTGCACATGTTCGCTCGCCAAGGGATGCCTAGGCCTGCTTGCACTGTTAAACAGAGCATGCACTCAGAGACAGAATTCACATACTTGTGTTCTTTGCGAGTTGGCGTAAAAGTGTGCTGTCAGCTGCTGCCAGTGCGATCCGCAGGAACTCCAGAAAGTTGGAATATGGTCTCAGGGTAGGATACCCTATAATTTACCATAAAGGGTTTAGGATAATCATATTCCAACTTTCTGGCTTTTACCTTAAAGGTAGTAGCAGAAGGCCCAAGACCCCCACAGACCGGGGCTTTCTAGGCAGCTCTGCCTTCCATACTTGTACACGAAGTTCACGAAGCGCCTGTTTCCCTCCTTTCTCTCAAAGCGAGAAGGCAAACAGAAAGCAAGAAATCCATCCATAGATGCATGCGAAACTTTTGAATATCTGCACCCTTTGAAGGCTCGTGACAGCACCCTTCTCCCTTGCCAGGTCTTCTACTAACCATTGATATTGGGGAGCTAAGGAGCCAGGGATGATGATAATCCCTACTAAATAAGGAGCTAAAGAGCCAAGGGAACCCCAAAACCACTGATTAGTCCATGCAAGAGGCAAGTCAAGGTCAACCTGAGGTTTGGGCGGCGTTCTTTGGGCGGCGTTCTTCGTGCGTCGTCTCGCGGTAAAATGGGAGTTTCCGAAAATTAGGGGTACCGTATTTTGGGGTCCTTATAATAAGGATCCTACTATTTAAGGTGCCATATTAGGGCTCCCTGTTTTCGGAAACTCCCAAATGACGGGCAATCAAAGGCCGCAGTCCTCGCGACAAACCCAGAAGCAGGGTAGTTAACTTGTAACCTTTTCAGGGTAGTAAAATCCCTATATGACCACAACGGTTAACCGTTGGGTTCCCAATGATACCCGGGAAGTAAGTAAATGGACACGTTGGGTTCCTTAAACATCATTTGCAAGAAGCTCAAATCGAAGCGGAATTGGCCATTGGCTGCGACGCAGGCGTGAGCACCCGAAAAAGGACGGGAGCGCTTGTGGCTGAGTGGGGACTGCTCGAGCTGACTAGGGCAGGAAGCAGAAGAGATGTGTCCGAGTTCAACAGAAGCCCCGCAGAAAGGACCGTGACAATCCCCTACACCCGATACCCCACGGACTCCTACTTTCGAGAAAGTCACATAAATTCTGGTTGAGACGCGACCCTCGGCACTCGGCACAGGAGAGAGCCAGAATGAGCCTCGTTTCTTGGGGGATCGTCAAAAAGTGGGTCGACGGTGCAGCTTGGCACAGCTGCAGCGAAGAGAACCGAATGTCTTGTCCTAGATCTAAATGGACGATTTTTTTTGTGAGGACCCCATGTGTGAGGCTTTCTAAATATGCTTAAGCCACAATTTACCGAAAGCCTTATTCTGGCTATTCAGGCCCCGCAAATAGAAGTCCTGCTCGATACCTCGGATCCTCTGTTCCGAGACACTGATCCAATGCCGGACCGATTTCTGGGTTATACGAGGCTGAATCACCAACAGCGGTTTCCAATTTTCGTCTCCGTTTACATCGAGAATCGAGAGTACATGGAAGCTACATTACTGGTTCCACGTTTTCTATGCAGATAACTAGCCGGTCTAATGGTGGTTCATCATTGCATTTTGTCCTGAAGGGGCCCCTGGCAAACATTTACAAAACCCCAACGCGCCCAGGAGAAGGACAAGTTCAAAGAGGACCTCGAAGCCTGTGCACGTGGCGCAGGTTGCACACCAGCAGCACGAGGCTCCTCGGCAAAGGTTTCAGATCAAGCAGGTTTAGGCTTTAGGGTTTAGGGTCGGAATGGTTAGCCGCTAGCCGACAATTGCAAGACAAAAACCTCCATAAAAAAATATTATCGCAGCCTAATCCTGTCCAGAATGCTAGCCGCATTGATTTCGGGTGCCGACACCGCTGGCACGACCGCTTGGACTCCTGACCGCCCGGCGGCCCTTCGCCGACTTCATGTCAGCTCCGCTCCTTGAAACCGCCGTGAGACGCCCCTTCCCACGGCTCTTCCGTTCAGCTGCTGGTGGCCGCAGTCCGTGGCCTACATGCAGCAAGACGTCCCGTTTAGCTACAAGGTTGTCCCCGCTTACTAGCCCTCACCCGTCTTTTCTTCAGGCCCCTATAAGGACTCCCTACGGACCCCGAATCACCGCGAACTCGGAAGTTGCAGCCTTGAGGCTACTTCTGGCCTTGCGAGCACATTGTTTTCTCTCCGACACTCCCCATCCATGCAAGCACAGCAAGCACACCTCGGATGCTTGGCACACGGTCACAACATGAGGAAAGCACAGCGAGGCATGCCGGTGGACGCACCAAAAGCTTCAAGGCAAAACCGTTGCGTGTGCCACCGGCTCTATGATATGCTCAGGGCAAGTGGAGCTGTTTGCTGCAGGTTCGAGTGTTGCATCGTTGGAGGCTGCTGCGGTGTGCACCACAACCTTCGCTGGAGCTTGCCTTGTGCCACCTAGCCTCGTGTTGAGAGTCCCCCAAGCTTTCACGCGAGAATTCTGAATCCGCAAATCAGTACTTCAGAGAAGATCCCGAAAAGATGCGAATAGTTGTCCAGTTGTCCATGGCATCTTACATGGTCCTTTAGCTGCAACTCCGAATGGATCTACTTCAGTCCATTGGCCGTTTGCTCTTTCATTCGTTTTTGATTTCAATTATGGCTCTATGATCTCGAAGATGCCTTGTGTTAAGATGTGCTAAGTATTCCTTGTCCCATGTGACCCGCTTGTATGTTTTGAAAACAGTATCCCCGGCCCCTAAACCCTGATGTCCCTCTGATTGCCGCTGGTCCAGGTTTGAGCTGGGCTTCGGGTCTTGTCAACGATGTCGTGAAATGGGGCATCCAGGCTTGCCCCCCAATTAGAAGGTTGATTTCAACAGCAACTAGTCTGTGATCAAAGCTTGCTAGAGCAGCTACAGAAAGACTGGATAAGACGGCCATGGATTTGTGCATAATGGTTTTTGTATAGGAGCAACATAAAGACTCGCATCCATGCCCGAATTGGACACCTCGAAGTGGAACACTGCTGTTACAAGAGTTTCCATCCCTAAACCGCTGACGACGTCGGAACCAAGCATGGTGGCTGTGTGGTGCAGGCTGCAGGTGCAGCGGCAGAGTGGACACAAGATCGGGCAGAGGAGGCCGCTGACTCGGCCAGGCGTGAAGGCCTTAGCAAAGCGCGGCAGCTTTCAGAGAGGATCTACTTGAAGGCTCATGGGACTTGGTAACTAGGGTTATAAGTAGGTTATAACCAGGATAACCCCACTTAGGGGACTTATAACCCCAATTATAAGCTACTTACTAAGTCCCATGATCCTCTAAGTAGGGAGGGAGCTCTGCACTCAAGCCGTGGAATCGTGCGGGAGGGTCAACCTGAATAGGAGCAGATGCTGTGTTGGTGCTATTCACGACGAGCCCCCAAGGGGTTCCTTATTTTGGGGGCCCGTATAATAAGTATCCTACTATTTAGGGTAGTATATGAGGGTTCCCTGTTTTCGGAAGTCCCCATAGCAGTCCTGGAAACTCCGGGCGTTGCCTTTGCTCCCAAGTGTTGTTCCGGATGCTTTCTTTACGCAGGGTGGAGACTTTTTTTGGGCCCTTTTATTCATTTTTTGGGGTATTTTTTTTTTTGGTGGTGCTTTCCTTGGGCGTCTAGGGAAAGCCATCTTTTTCGGTTTTCCGGAGAAAAAACTATTTTCCTTGCCCATATTACTCCTAGTGTTCGGAGCGTCGCGCAGCAGAGCGTAGTGCACGCGCTTTTCTCAACCTGTTTTCGGCGTAGTGTTGCGGCTCGAGCCTCCCAGCTCGAGCGCCGGTGAGCGCAAGGGGCGCTACATGATCAGAGATGCCGGGTCCCTGGCTGAGCGCCACCGGGGACCCGGAAGCCTGGGTGTCTCATGAGCACCAAGTGGGTGACTACATCGAGTTCGTCACCTACGACACGGCCAGGGCAAAGCAGGGCACGGTGTTGGCCCGGCTCGACTCACTCACCGATCGCGGGGCCCATGGGCAATGGACGGAAGCCACCTTCCTCGCGGTGAGTGACGAGCACCTGGCTTGGTGGCTCACTAAGGGACCAGGGGCCAATGACCATTGGCAATTCGAGGTCCACTTCTGCAAGGCAGCGGAGCGCGCCTGCAGGCAAACAAAAAGGGGCAGGGCCCTGGACTTCCACACGGATAAGTTCAGGGTGATCCCAATCGGGGACCTGGCCGAGAAGAAGATCGATTGGGTGCGCAAAAGCCCGCACCGGAAGTACGTGGAGGAGGAAGTCCAGCGGATGGCTGGTGGACTCCCCACGGGGAAGGATCAAGGAGCAGGTGCAGCCCAAGGGCTAGACTTTAAGGAGGCAGCTGGTCTGCCACCGGCCGATGCCACGGCTGAGGAAGACGCCCTGAAGGGGCTATCTCGGCTGGAAGCTGAGCTCGGTACGCCGAAGAAGCAGAGGAGGAAGAAAGAGAAAAAGGATAACGCCTCAGGGGCAAGTGGACCCCTCAAGAGGGAGACCTCCAAGGAGAGGGCAAAGAAGAAGAAAAAGAGAAGGAAGGAGGATGAGACCGCCCACGGGCGAGCTGCTTCAGCGCCAGCGGGGGCGCGAGCTGAGTGGTTTGGTCAGGCTGCTCCGTCGGACCCTCCCGACGGGAGCACGTCCGACTCTACCCCAGGCACTTCGACGTCGGAGAAGGCGAAGAAAAAGAAGAAGAAGAAAAAGAAGAGGGACAAGGACCGCGCGAGGTCAGCTCAAGACCGTGGACCCTTTGGCTCTGGCCACAAGGTCGACTACGGTGGCCTTCGTGATGGCAGCGACTCTTCGGATGACAGCCAGGGTTTTCGCGACGGCCCCCCCACCGGGAATGGAACCAGCCTCCAACTTCAGCTTCAGGAGTACTCCGTCAAGAAGCCGGGGAGGTTGGCCGCCAGACTTCTGCAGCGAATGCAGGCAATGGTGGCGAAGGAGGGGGGGCCGTTATCGACGTCACCGGGGACGAGCCGAACACCGCCTGTGGCAACCAACTGGGTCCTGACGATCCTCGGCCCGAAGCAGCTGCAGATCCGCTTGATGAGGGAGATGAAGACCTTAGCCACGGCCCTCGACCAAATCGCGGCGGGCAAGGCGCACGCGGCAGCGGACACCATAGCTCAGAGGCTGAAGGCCCTGGAGCTGAGCCAGGCGGACGGCTCGTGGAACAGAGCTCAGTTCCTGGAGCTTCTCGAGCCAGAAGGCCCGTCACTCCTAGAAAGGGACGAGGCAGTCTTGGCCTCCAAGGAGTGGGCGGGGGAACTCCGCATGCGGAAGCTCCAAGGAGGAGGAAAGGGTCCCGGGAAGCAGCCGCAGAAGGGGGACGACAAGGGCGGCAAAGCCGACACGAAGGGCGGCAAGGACGGGAACAAGAAGGGCAAGACCGGGAAAGGAGCCAAAGAGGTCGCCCCGACGGAGTGAGCGACCCTTTGGTCAAGGAGGAGGTCCCGGACTATGACCCGAGCGACCCCGAGGACATGGAGCTGGAGGATGCTCCCCAAGGGGAAGAGTTTGTGGGAATGGTGTTGGATGGTGTGTTGGACTTTGACCTGGGTGACCTGGGGGAGAGCGATGATGAAGGCCTCCCCACGGGGAAGGATGACTCAGGGTATTGGTCCAACATGTTCGACGGTCTCTCTATGAAGGACTGGCGCCAGAAGGTCCGGAATGTACTCAATCGAAGGCCGCAGATCGCGAGCCTAGGCAAGGTCTACATGGAGGCGATCCTCTCGCTGAAGTCGGCCCTCGGCACCTTTGCCCGTGTGCATTCGAATCCGGAAAGGCTGCCTCCGGGCGACGAGCCCATCTCGGGGCCCGGCAAGGTCACCAAGGAGAACGTCCATTGGGTCAGGGTGGTGGTCACGGTGCTGAACTACCTCTACTGTGCGGCTTGGGCAAAGCCGGTGTGCGTCCCCCTCGCAAGGACGCTAAGCAATGCCCAGATCGCGGTGGTCAACCGGGTGGCAGAGCAGGTTACCCGGCTAATCAGCCGTGGCGGTTCTGTGGGACCGGCCCCAGAGTCGGTGAAGCGCCTAAAGTCCAAAAAGTTCGACTACAATGGTCAGCCCATAGACCATATGCAGGACCTGGTGGCGGAGAAGGTCATCCCTGCCTGGCCGGCGGTCGGAACGGCTGCCGTGGTGAACTTGGAGGACTGCCTCCCTCCGGACCTGAAGGAGGCAATCCAGGACCCCACGGCCTACCTTCTTCCTGAGGCGGAACTTCCAGCCAGGCATCGTGGGTCCAGGGTGCGGGCCACCGACGATGAGTGGTTCAAGATAGTTCGTGCCGGTTACGACCGAGGAATGTTCACAGCCGTCCGGGATGAAGACATCCCAGTGGACAAACGCGGGCACCTGATTACCAATGGTGCTGGGGGTGTCCTGAAAACCAAGGTGAAGGATGGCAGAACGGTGGAACTGCAAAGGTTCATTTCTATACTGTGCCCCACCAACGACGCGATGAGGTTGCTCCCGGGGGCACAGGACACCCTGCCATACATCGGCCAGCTCACGGCCGTGATGGCGGAGAAGGACTCGTACCTTGTCTTGGACAGCGAGGACCTTCAGTCTGCCTTCAACCTCTTCAGGATGCCTCCTCGCTGGGCTGGCTTCTTTGCCTTTGCAAAGAAGGTTCGGGGAGATGCCCTGGGCCTTTCACGGGACGTGGAGGTCAGGCCTGGGCTCACTGTGGTCCCGATGGGCTGGACCTCTGCGGTCACCTTGATCCAGGCAGCCATCCGGTTCATTGCGTATGATATCGGTTTGTGGCGGCATGTGAGCTGCTGGGCCTCCCCCGGAATTTGGGGAAGCAGCTAAGTGGAGCACTTGAGGGGAGGCACGCCTACGAGAAGTCCCGAGAGCTTCTGGACTTGGGCCTTGGGCTTCTCTCCATGGAGATGGCAGATGAATTTTGCCTAAGACATTGGACCGGGAAGGCCGCCTTTGCCTCAGCCTTCAAACGGCCAATGTTCTCCATCCTGCAGGAAGTCTACTGCGTGATGGACTGGGCGCAGGAGGGCACGCAGATCTCTCCAAGCGCACCGGTCCTTGATGAGATCCTCTGCTTCAGCGTTCTCCTCCCCTTGGCGGAGACCGACCTGTCCTCCCCCCTGTCAGAGGTGATCAGCTGCACTGACGCGTCGCCCACGGGCGGGGGCTGCTCAATCGCAACGGGCTTCAAGGACAAGTCGCTTTTGCTCCCCCTGCCGTTGGAGGACACCGGCAACTGCGCGGTTTGCCAAAGGCCCCTTGATATGCCAGACCGCCGCAAGTATCCTTGCCCGCGGCAATGTGGGCTGAAGCTTTTTTCCCTCCGGTGTTCCAGAGGCCATAGCCAGGGGTGCTGCCGGAAATGGTGGCACGTACCGAAGTTCGGGGAGCGTTTCTCTGGAAAGGGCTTCCCTCTTTCCAAGGCGGCCGGCCTAAAGGGGATTGAGACGCAGGAGCCCATGGACTATGAGGTTCCTGGCGACCGGTGGGACTTCAAGACCGACTTTGGGAAAGCCCGCCTAGATGAAGAAGAGGATGATGGGGATCTCATGTGGTCCCATTGGGCCCCTGACAGGTACACCTTTTCACGTGCCAGGGGCCGAGGTTTCTGGAATGACCAACACCAGTGGGATCATGGCCTTCCAGCTCTTCGCTCAAGGCGGTTCCCGGAGGGCCTCTCGCAGCTGCGACGGCAGGACAACGTGGCGGTCAGGCAGGCCAACGCCATGGCAAAACGAGCCGTGAATGGGTTGCTCCAGGCAAATCGCCGAGGCCGCTTTGCTTCGCTGGAGCATCCTTACGACTCCTACCTTTGGGACCTCCCAGAGCTCAAGCCCCTCTACGGAGGAGAATGGTTTTGGTCCACGTTTGCTCTCTGCTGCCACGGCGGGGACAGAGAGGAGTGGCTGACAGTCGTGCACAACTCTGCTTCACTGCACGCTGTCCTTCACAAGCCGCAGTGCGATGGTCACCGCGAATCCATCGTGCCTTCCTCTCACTTGGACCCGGAAAACAACGATGAGTACCCGTGGCTCTTCTGCCTCGTGTTCATGGAGGGGGTCCATGATGAACTTTCCCAGCTCTACACGGTTCCCTTTGGGAACAAAGTGGAGACCCTTGAGTCGCTTATGCACCACCAGCTGAAGGGAGCAATGCGCGGCCTCCAGGATTCCACGGCAGTGGACTGGGCAGTCACCCAGTGTGTCAAGTTCTTGGACAGCATGGATGCGGGACAAGAGGCCCAACACCTGGCTTGGTTGCTCCGGCACACATACCACACAGGATGTGATGTCAGGTTGACTGACCGGGGCAACGATGTGGTCGGCAGCCGTCCTGGACCCTACCCTGCTTTTCGATGGCTGTGGCGTGATGTGCTTTCGTACAAGTGGAAGCAGCCGCAGCATATCAACGTTCTCGAACTCACCGCCTTCTTGGCTGAGCTCAGAAGACGGTCCAGGGACCAGGCCCAGCACGGCAAGCGCTTCTTCTGCATCGTGGACTCCCTCGTCACCTTCTATGTGCTGGGAAAAGGGAGGAGCTCCTCCAAGCGGCTAAACCGCATCTGCCGCAGAGTCACCGCAATCTCCTTGGCAACTGGCTTGATACCCATCTCCTTGTGGACGATCAGCAAATGGAACTTTTCCGATGGTGCGTCACGGAAATTCGAACCGTCCTGATCACTTACGCTTTTTGGGTATCACAGCCAAGACAAGGAGATCCTATGAAAATGCGGTGCAAGCTTTCTTTCACTATGTTCGCGCCCTACGGGGCAGGTTACCTCGCACTATGTCGGAACTTGATGAGGAAGTTTCTGAGTTTATCAACCACCTGTACCAAGAGGGGGACAATGTTACTTGGGCAGGCTGGACTGTCAGTGGGCTCAAACGTTTTTTCCCACGGTGCAGACCCCACCTTTTGACTTCACAACTGTTTCTTCGGAATTGGCACAGGGTTCACATGCCTTGCTTTGTTGGTTCTTTTGGGGTTCGCTTTCTTTTTGCGAACCATGGAGCTGGTGAATCTCAGCACAACTCATGTGCGCCTTTTTCCCGAAGAAGGGACAGTCGTGGTCGCTATTTTGGGAGCGAAAACGTCAAAAGGCCTTCAGCAATCCTTGTCCCTTCGGGACCCCCCGTTGGTACGGGTTCTGAAGTTTCTGCTGGACCGGGTACGCCCGAGTAGCCTTATATATTCCAAATCAGTTTCCACCTTTCGGTTGGAATTTTCGTCCTTGGTCACAGCAATTGGCCTGGATCCGGCCGACTATTTGCCGTACTGCCTTCGCAGGGGTGGTGCTACCTGGTTTTACCAGCAGCATGGCCTTGGCCGAACAGTCATACAGGGCCGGTGGAAGGACCAAAACACCGCGCGCATCTATGTGGATGATGCAAGAGCCACCCTCATTCAGCTTCTTCTCCCCGCCCACGTCACCGCCCGTCAAACTTATTTGGCTTCTTTTTGGCGTGTGGCTTCGCCAGCGGGCTAGCCCAATCTCGGGGCAAGTTGGCGATTGGGGGAGTTGCCGTGTCTTGGATGGGTGGTTTACCTCAGGCCAAATATGCCGGAGGATCCTCCTACGGGAGAGGCGTCTACGGACGAGACTAGGGCCTTGTATCATAGCTGAGCTTTAGCTCAGCCTTTTGGTGTGGATTAGGTGTTTCACGCCAACTCTGATGCCTCCCAGCCTTTCCGGAGGAAAAATCGGAGCTTCCTTTTGTCGGTTGAGAATACTCCTAGTGTTCGGAGCGTCGCGCAGCAGAGCGTAGTGCACGCGCTTTTCTCAACCTGTTTTCGGCGTAGTGTTGCGGCTCGCCACCGCGGCCCCTCCTCCTCCCAGGCCAAATATGCCGGAGGATCCTCCTACGGGAGAGGCGTCTACGGACGAGACTAGGGCCTTGTATCATAGCTGAGCTTTAGCTCAGCCTTTTGGTGTGGATTAGGTGTTTCACGCCAACTCTGATGCCTCCCAGCCTTTCCGGAGGAAAAATCGGAGCTTCCTTTTGTCGGTTGAGAAATATATATATAATATATAATAAAATATAACATAACATAACATAACATAACATAACATAATATAATATAATATAATATAATATATATATATATATATATATATATATATATATATTCTTTATATAGTATATACAAGTTCTATAGTATATACTGTGTATATATATAGTATATATATAGTATATGTAGTATATATAGTATATATAGTAAATATAGTATATACAGTATATATTGTATATCTTGTATATATAGTATATATATATATATAGAGTATATACCGTATATATCGTATATATAGTATATATATAGTATATATAGTATATAAGTATATATAGTATATAAGTATATATATAGTATATACAGTATATATAGCATATATAGTATATATAGTATATATAGTATGTATATGTGTTGTTTATGTATAACATATAAATATAATATATATATATATATATGTAAATACATACATATATATATAATATATATATATATATATATATATATTCATGATACATATAGTGTATATATATATGTAGCATATATATATATATATATATACATATATACACTATATAGTATATATAGTATATGTAGTATATATTACTATATGTCTTTCTATGTAATATATATATATATATATATATACAGTATATAGTATATATACTATAGATACTACATATACTGTATAAACTATAGATACTCTATATATATACTATTATATATATATATAGTACATATAGTTTATATAGTACATGTAGTAAATAAATATAGTAGATCCTTCGATCCTTTTTCCTTGCTTCCTTTCCTTCCTTCCTTCCTTGTGTCCTTGCCTTCTTGTTTCCTCCCCTGTGTAAACAACAGAACGTAGGGGCAAAAAAAAAAGGCACCAAAAAGCAAAACAAAAGGGCCCCCAAAAACTAGGTTCCCATTGCATGCTGACTGCCAACCGTTATCGCGGTGCCCACCTGCGCAGTGTGCAGATGAGCTTTGCGCAGTTCTTATAGGTCGCAGCAGTACCGAGGCTTCTTTCCCGCGAACAATCCAAAATTAATACACCATGCCTCTATGCCACTTTCTATGAGAATCATGTCAACCCTTGGTACAAAGCAACTCAGTTGATCCACTGTCTCAGCGGACACGCTTTGCTATTGCCGGGTAGTGGTGCTTCCTGGCGGTCTGGGTATTGAGATTGGATGCCAAGACCAGGCATACTCATCCCGTCAAGGAAACCAGGCATACTCATCCCGTCAAAGAAACGCTTCTCAAATTAATCTTCAGTTCGACATCTGCCTGTGCAATCTGCGGTTCTGTCCATTCCGCAAGGGACTGCAGTGTCTCGGCTGTATATAACTGATAACTAGACGGTGCTACTACTCTGGCAAAGCCAGACTATGCCGTGCCCGAAACCCTATACCCTATACACTATCGTGCGTCCATACACGTTTTCAGGGGTGTGGTCCGAATTGAAAACTGCATGTTGCGGCCTAAGGTGTTGCAGCAGATGTGGTGAATATGGCCAAAGAAGGTGAGAGCATCGGTTTTTCGTATCATACTGGCTCTGTAGTATACTTGCATGTTTATTCGAGGGTACCGTAGGTATGGCTGCTATTCTTGTTCCCAGTCGTCCTGCAGGTAGTTCCGAGCTAAATTCGACAAGTACTCTTGAGCTCCGTGCTTCACGGTTTCATGTTCGGAATTATTGTATATTCCTTATTAGGACCGGACCCTTAAGTTATGGGAATTGTGGTATATTCCTTATTATGGGTAATGCAGGATTTATATCATCAGTTCGGAACATGATTTGCATCGCTCCGGCTCCCGTTGTGGAGATGCAGCTTTTCAGGAGAATCACGTGGGAGTTTCCGAAAATAGGGGGTTCCTTATTTGGGGGTCCCTATAATAAAGATCCTACTATTTAGGGCACCATATCAAGGTCCCCTATTTTGGGAAACTCCCACGTAAATAGCGCTTTTCTGGTACAGAACTTGCAAAGGACCCAAGACCCTTGACTTCCGCAACCTGTGGCTTCGGCCACCATCGTTTTCGTCGTCCTTCTTGTGCTCAGAACTCTGAAGCAGAGAGCCACGTTGGGAGTGTTACAAGATGAGCTTCCCGCTATCTAAAACTCCCTGGGCCCTGAGCTCATAGCCAAGACCCAACATGAGCCCTCGGTGCATTTGCTGCGTTTTCCGGGAGTCGCTATCCAAGCCTTCAGCGTAGTTCTCATGTTCTTGCCGCAGGATGGGAAGGAGCGGTGGAATTCGCAGAAGCTGCGGGGGAATTCTTCAACGACTTGTGGTCGGTGCGGCGTTTGAGAGCTTAGGAGTTTGGAAAGCAGCTGTGCGAGTATCTTAAAATTCGAGTTACGTTTGTATACGTTTGTCAGTTACTGTTTCCATCATGAAGGGTTGGATGCAAAGCACATTGTGGAGCTCCCACGTACACCGATTCCCATCAAGGGCAGTGAGTGGTATGGCCGTCTTTAACAGTTAGGGAATGATTGTGGACTTGACGAAAGAGCGAGAGCTGCAGCCTGACAGATCCAGCACACCACAGGGCGCTCAAGATGCCATTGAAGAGTTCTTCGGCAAGACCTTGAAAAACTTGCTGCCCCCTGGCTGGTGTGTGATTTGTTTTGCCCAGTCAAGACAAGGCCAGGAACATAACCTGGATGCCATAGATCCTGTGCCTCGATGCGAAACGGTCCGACAAGACACTGAGCTCCATGCATACATTGTGCTCCAGTGTTGAGCAGAGGTCGATGCTGTCTCTTGGGACACATGTTGGGTTCAAGGATGACTAAACCGACGAAATTAATGCAATGAGGATATCAAGCTAGAGCCCGGGTGTGCCGAGAGCGTTTCACAAGCCAAATCAGTATCGACACAGTATCGATGCAGTATCGACATGAACTATGTAGCATGCACATGCATGCATTCATGACGTGAAGAACCTCATCCATCCGATCATCATACATGCGAACCTACAGTTCTTAGCAACACATGACGTTGTACTGGAAACACTTTGTCAGATGGTGGCGTATGGGACTAGTAAACATGTGACCCTGGTCGGCAGCAAGGGCACGGAGAGGGAGCCCTGCCGTATGGAGCCCTTATAGATATATATATATATATATATATATATATATATATATGGTCAGGCGTCTGGCGTTCCCAGCCCCCCCCCGCCCCCCCCAATGGTATGGTCTGACAGGGGTGGGGGGGGGGGGGCCTGGCGTGTGCGGAAAGGGGTTGGGGGCCGTTGGAGCTGCCACTGGATGGTGGGGTGGCGCTGGCGGCCAGGGCTCACGCGCAAGCCCTTCGCAAGCAAGCCGTAAACCCTATGACGCAGCGCGCGCCCCTGTTTTGAGCAACATTAACTTGTACTTAAAACACTACACCCAACCCTAAACACCACCTAACTGCAGGCTCTAAGCCTAAAGCAGAGCATACACCGCAAATCCTCCCTAAGCCCTTGTCGACTCGAAGCCTTATACCTTGTAACCGTAAACCCAAAACTCAAAAGCTTAAGCTAAACCCGAAACCTCAAAACCCCACAACCCCACAACCACCCCACAGGGGGAAGAGGGACCCCACACCCCACACCACAGGGGAGGGGGGGTCCCCACCCTATATCCGAACCATTGACCTTCAGGGGGGGGGAGGGGGGGGGGCGCGGAGCGCGTGACAACATATATATATATGGGGGGCTGGGAACGCCAGACGCCTGACCACAAATAATCCCGGTTCTCGGTTCACCGACCCCCCCAAATGGTATCCCCCCCCTCCCAAAGCCGAATCTGTTTGTGACTGTGCAAGCTTTTTCCACACGAGGGCTCACACGCCAAGCAGACCCATGCAGGAAACCCAAACCACACCACACCACAGCAGGGAGTGGGGTAACCAGCCTGAGCAGACCCACTCCCGAACCACACCACACCACACCACAGGGAGGGGGAAGCAACCCACCACCACACCACACCACAGGGGGGGGACGAGGAACCTTTGGGGGGGGCCGGCCGAACCGGGATTATATATATATATATATATATATATATGTATACATACACACATACATATACATAAATATTTGTGGAAAAGAATCTATGTATGTATGTACATGTATATGCATATGTGTATTTGTATGTATATCCAGGACTCGTGTAACCCTAGAATCCAGGGGGCTTACCCGCACGAAGGACCGTGAGAGGGCCTTGTTTGCTGGTGTTTGCGTCCCATTTTCGCATGATGCAAGTCCCTTTTGAAGCCGAGCCGATGTGACTGGCAGTTCATGCTGAGCATGGACGACTTTTCAAGCCGAGTGATTCGAAGACGAAATAGCAGCAAGAACCCTCCAGCCTGCTCAGGCGCATCCAGCATGGAACTACTCTTTCCTGGGGAACGGCTGAAGCGTCAAGCAAGTCTTCACCACTGAGGCCGAGGCCCCCGGCGCAAGTCTGCGGTGGCATCAAGCGTCTTGACCGCAACTCACAAGCCGGATGTAGTTTGGAAAAAGTTGGTGCTGGGAGGAAAGGAAAGGGCGATGAGCGGATGCTGCGTGTGCAACGGAAGGCAACAGCCAGGCACTTTGCGGGCTGTCTGGCAAGGCCTCGCCGAAGAGGAAGGCACAGGCGGAAACCTGAGCTGATGAATAACCTGCGGGATTCTTAACCAGTTGTTGTCTACACGAATACCGCATTGCTCTCGAATGCGTGATATCGACCTTAAGCCTTGGACCCTCATGTGCGATCTCCACATGAAGCCCCACCACCCCCGCCCGGTTCAAACGCGTTAGACCTAGCTTAGCCTAGCCCGAACGGTCGCTCTATGATCCTGCGCACCTTCTGAATCCGAACATGTTCAATGTTTTCTCAATGTGTTGAACAAGCGATGCTCAGGTTTCCTGATAATGTTCTGGATGTCTTCATCAAAAAGAATGCGTGCCAGCGAGCAATCTCCGACATCTTCAAGGACACCCTAGACCCACAACCGCCACGGCCACGCCCTGAACCCCGAACCCTCAAAGTGACGACCTTCGTAAACAACGTTCGCCGCAGTCTCTGGTTTGTGGCTGACGACGTGTGCTGACAATGCCAACGAGGACGAGCACAAGACTGACATGACAGGTAGTATGACATATGCTGGATGACGACCCGGAAGTGAAGACAACGAGAAAACTGCGTGAAATCAAGCCTTTAAGAGTCTGTTCTTGTGGTGAAACACAGCACCTACCGGTTACTAGTGGTGAATAAACAGGACAGTGGTAAGCATATCCAGGTCCTGCTATATTGAGCTATGATGCCATCATATGCCATCAATGAGAGGAGGTCCACCAAAACAGTCTTGCTCTTAAGATGACGATGCATGCATTCGCCAGCAGGACAAACACAAAGATTCCGGTACGCAACCGTCATAGAGCTCTAGGCACTGTTTCCACCCTATCGCGAGACAAGATTTGTGTGGAAGCCATTAAAGTTAATTCGTGTGGAAACCATACAAGACCTGGATGCGTCTCAAACCCTTCCAACCGTTTCCTTTTCTCAAAGTGGGGCCAGGGGCAGACGAGCGGAGTTGCAGCAACTATCCTTTGATATTATGGGAGCTAAGGAGCCAGGGATGCTGATAATCCCTATTAAGTAAGGAGCTAAAGTGCCAAGGGAACCCCCCAAAGCACTGATTAGTGCAATCCATGGCGAAAAGCCAGGGCTACAGGCACCCGCACACGCCAGCATACAGAGCCAGCAGCGCCTGATCTTGCCAGTTCCAAGCGGTGTATCCCATGTGAGACCAAGCTACCATCTGAACCTTTTCCTCTTTCGATTCGTGCCATTGGAAGGCGAAGTTCTTATTACTTGCGCCGTTACCAGCGTCAGCACCGTCATTGTTTAAGGAACTTTTGCGGATGATTTCGGAGGAGCCTCCAAAAGTTTCTGGGGTTGCGAGCGTGGCCAAGGATCCACGGATCGGCACAGGATGCGGTTGAAGTATCCACGTTTGGATCGCATACTGGCTCTGGCCACTGGCATGAAGGAATGCTTATCGGAGCAAGCGGTCAGACTCGAAAACCTTCTCAGTTTCTGGTGGCTTTCACGTGCTGAAGATGACCAGTGTCACGGCTTTGCACCAGTTGTGTCTTCGGTTTCTGCACATCGCGAACCAGTGTTGCTTCATTGGTTCAGTTTGACTGGTAGCTTGGCCTGGCGATCTTCTCAAGATTTTCCAAAAATCGGCGGAAGCTTAGCACAGGCATGCGATTTTGAATTTATGCCATGTCGATATTGACGACCCTCTCGTGGCGTTTGCCGTTGCATGTCAAGTGTAGATCTTGAAAGAATCTCTTCGCGGGAAGTTCGACTTTCACGGAGCGTGCGGTCCTCGATATCACTTCACAAGCCCAAAGCGCATGCGTTCTGAGCACTTTACTCGGCTTGTCGTGACCGTTTGGGGATGTCTGCGGATGAGGATATGGAAAACTGGAGGCGGCTCCATGCGAGAGCGCGATTGGTGCGGACTCCTCACGCGGAGATTGGTTATACTTTCAGCGGTGTTGAACCCTGTTCGCTTTGTCGACGTTTTGCTGTTTTGCTATTTCATGCCGAAATCGACAACCTTTCCAGTGCCTTGCTATCCTCGCATCGCGAAAATTCAAACTGGAACGGGAGGGAGCGAGGTCGGACGCCGTTGGCCAATTCAATTACTCACATCGTCGTAGCTAACGGCTAATGCGGCCAACATCATCATGGACTTGCGCCGCTGCGTTGACCTTCATCGACACGAAAAGTCAAGGCAACCATCAACATAGACATGTCATGCTTCAAAGCTTATGGTGGTCCCAGGCTGCTCTTATAGTCGTTTTGCTCTGCAGTCCGGGCCCGAATCATTCTCCATTGTCATACTTAGGGTTTAGGGCTTTCTTTCCTGATACTTTGGCCATGACTTTTGTTTCCAGGCCACAATGTCTTGCATCGCGCAACTTGTTGAAACTTCTTAAGACTTTTCCGCTTCAGGGCCCATTGCTTATCTATCCTAGTGTTGTACCTCGCGTTTTGCTGAGACATTGAACCTTTATTTTCAGTTTTCGAGGTGACAGAGCGCTACCGGCTAGCTGCAGTCATGCAAGTCAGAACGGTACATCGCAGAAGAGGAGCGAGATGTTTGGGCATCCATGCTCTGCGAGATGGATGTGCTCGGACATGGGCATTCTCATGACCAGATCCCTAAACCCTAAACCCAAAACCCTAAACCGCACCCTCAAAGGAATGTTATCATGACTTGGGCATGGAGGCATTTGGAAATTGATGCCCAAGCAGATCGTTTAGGGTTTAGGGGTTTAGGGTTTAGGGTTTGGGGGTTTAGGGGTTTAGGGGTTTAGGGTTTAGGGTTTAGGGTTTTAGGGTTTAGGGGTTTAGGGGTTTAGGGTTTAGGGGTTTAGGGTTTAGGGGTTTAGGGTTTAGGGGTTTGGGGTTTAGGGTTTAGGGGTTTAGGGTTTAGGGTTTTAGGGTTTAGGGGTTTAGGGGTTAGGGTTTAGGGGTTTAGAGTCGTTGCGGTTTGAACGGGGCGTGCTTGCACCTGGATCATCATAGGTTGAGGCATGGATGTCCCGCAAACGGGATTTGCTTTCCCATGGGCGCCGTCAAGGCCTTGACATGGCAGCATTAGAACATGGGAGTTTCCCAAAATAGGGGACCCTAATATAGCACCCAAATAGTGGGATCCTTATTATAGGGACCCCAAATAAGGTAACCCCAATTGTCGGAAACTCCTACATGAATGCGCTTGCAGATGAGGCCAAACAGGAAATGGATGCGGTTCTAGTTTGAAGAAAGAGCAAGAACACATCAAACCAAGCACCCAATATTCTTACGTAGGAAATTATGACGTTGTTGTGTTGGTTGTACCTTTGTTTCCGCTTGTTTTGCATTTCGTGTTTCAAGATGGTGGGTTTTGTGTTCTCGCAAAGTCGAGGAGGAGCACTTGAAGTTTCAGCGCCGGACTTTGCATAACAGGCGCATGCAACAACAGCAAATTCTATAGAGGGCAAGATCTTGATAGAACAGGTCTTCCGCCGAAAGTGCAAAGCTCCAGAAAAGCAAAGAAAGAACGTAACGGAAACTTGGGCAAAATGTCTGAAATCACCCGTGCAGATGTTTCAGTTGCGACATCTCTGGAGTCGGGCCACAAAACGGCGTCAAGAAAGGACACAACTAGAGTCTAGAGCAGCAACTTTTAAAATGAGTTGCGCATCTTTTCAGGTTTTCATTATGTTAAAAGAGGTCCTTGGATATTCGTGAGCCGAAGAGGCTCTCCACAGAACATGGGTTGCCAGTTAAAAGCCAGGAGATTGAAGAGGTCTTCAAAGATGACTTACCGCCACTTGTCTCGGCCATAGGGGCCCGCATATCTTCCATGTGGAATGACGGAGTGACACGGCTGCAAATAGTTGAAGATGTCGTCGGAGTGGTCCGTTTGGGAATGACCCGGGTCTTGAACCCTTTCAGCCCTAAACACATCTGTAGCAGATCTCTGAAAGCCTTGTTGCCGCATTGTAGCCTTCTTCGGAGTCGGGTCGCAGCATGTATCGAACGAATGCAAAGGGGTCAGATTCATTACAGGTGTAATTGTCAGTGTTTGGGGAGTCTTTTCGGGATCAGCAGGATCCTTACCAAGGACTTGTGGAAGGCTGCTGCAGGAAAGCTGGCATCATCGATGGGTGGAGAAAAAATCCTCCTGGGACGCTGGGCTCCAGAACATCGTATATCACCTCAAGGTAGTTTTGCATGCTTTGAGACTGTACTGTCTTCCTGGGTATCCTCGTCGTTACGATGACTTTAGTTGTCCCGCAAACCTGGCTACATCTTTTCGCTACGTTAGCAGATGCCGCGAAGTCTTCGTAGTCACATAACTGCGTTAGTGGATTGTCTTCCCGAGCTCTCTGGAATGTCGGGCTAGCAGGCATCTACGTTTCAAGCCGACCCGGTGTGACAAGCTTTCCTTCAACGTGTGTAGGGCACTGTGTCAACCACAACGAGTAAACATCCGCAAGTTGAGCAAACCTAAATTCCCTGAGCATGCTTGCTAGGGACATACATTTCGTGCAGTTTTCGCCTGTAATCTTCGGTTGTTCGAACGATGAACAACACATCATTCTCACGTTCAGACGCATCCTGCGGCCTAGATATCATTACTGGCAAAGCTGGTGGCCGTGCGGCGGAGATCGTAAACACTGTGCAAGAGGTCCACAGCCGTGTTTATTACATGATCCTGATGGTTTCGATTCGGAATGGAGTGCACGTGGCCAGCACCTCTGATTCTGATCCTTGGTCAATCCGGTGACTCCAGACAGTCCTGCAACAGTATTCAGGAAGTTGAGGCTCGCTTCGACTAGAGAAGGTGAGGAGATGTTTGTGGCCTCTGGGGTTTCCAAGAACGGGAGGCTGAGTGAATATACCCTTTACTAGATCCCCCGTCGCGCCGCTCTGCCACTCAGATACACGTACCATGTTTGCAGGTTTCAAGGGTTGCATGCGGAAGCAATGGTATGTGCAGGTATGTTGCCGGCTCATGGCCGACTTGGCACTGAAGCGTTTTCCGAACGTCGTCACGAAGCATTTCCCTTTAAGGTGCTGACGACCTTCTTCAGAGCTCATCTCGGACCACTCTTCGACGACCTTGGACGCTTCTTCGGCGGGATCTTGCGGCCCCCTGGAGACATCAAACGGCTAGCCGTAATTATGAACTTTAAAGTACCAAGCATTAACAGAGTAGAACTGTCATGGTACTATTCACATCTTTTCCATTGCGAGCCGTCTTGGGTTTGGATAGACTCACTCGAAACCGGGTCTTGGCAGCAGCTTTTCTAGGTGAGCATGCAGAATGCGGATGCATCTCCCGCTGCCGGTGAACAGAACTGGCATGCCCAGTTTCTGCACATCTGTGCCATGACCAGTGTGCAATCACCCGAACTGCGTTTGAGTGTCATTCCTCAATGCCAATTCATGTCTTTCCATCACGCCGAAGAAGGACAACGGTTCAAAACTCGGCGGCCAGCGGAACCGCCCTGCCCAGCCCTTCGGTAGAGCGGTACCGGTTTAGCCTTCCGGGCCAAGTCTGCTGTTTGGGTTTAGTAAACCTTTGTAAGCTTCTTAAATCGACTGTCCGATGTTCTCCGTTTTGAAAGCCAGGGTCCCCGTTGCTCCACGTGCTTCCCCGCTGTGACAGTCTTCGTCACAAGAGGGACCGTAATTGGCAATAACTTCCATAAATGTGGAAGAAGCTTGGGTGGCTCCCTTTACGAGACTTGGTACAAGTTGGATGTGCCGTGCCAGCTACCGCTCTTGCCCTTGGAGGCTTCCACACTGCTTGGTCAGTGGGCCCCGCCTCTTTCCCCCGTCAGGGTCCGGCTAAGTCACCACTCAGGATCTCCCCTCACAGAACAAGATGCGATTCGCCCCCCTGTTCCGAGGTTTTTCGGGAGCCTGCTCAAAAATATTGGGAAAGCCATTGTGACCTTCTCACCCGCCGGAGGCAGGGCCTTAGGTAGTATTATTAGGGAGACCCCTTAAAGGGTACCCCTTCTGAACCCTACTTCTGGCTCCCTGAAAAGGGGCCTTATTGAGAGGGTCTATATCCCCGAGGGTCCCCTAATCCTAACTCGCAGGCCTCCGATAGGTTTAGCGTTTGGAAGAGGTGGTAAAAAAATGGAGACGCTGAGAGGATATTTGCCCGGCCTTGCACTGCAATGGTGTGGATGCAAAGTGCCACAACATCAAACATGAACCACGCTCACGCTTAGCTTGACTCAAGCAAGCTCCGGCTATCAATGTAGGGAATCTACAGCGTCAGCATATCGTGCTGTTGGCGGTAGGGCTGTATGGATGGATATAAGTATGCTTCTTCATATGCAAAGTTTGCAAGGTCGCCACTTCTTCCAGGGTTCAGCACAAGATCACACTAGCTTGTTCAGTGCTTCATCATCTTTCGATTACATGGCCTTCTGTACATATGTGACGTAACTAATGCAATTCAGTGTCATGCCACATACAGCCACACGAAGTTTCGGGGCCCAAATCACCGTAGCTGCATTTCCTGCAGGCAAACAGTATTGGCACATTGACACTAGTGTTTGAGCCACTACTGATGGCACAAACATAGAGCCCAGTCCAAGAGGCATTACCTCCTGTAGCCCTAGCAAATTCCCACCTAGAATCCTAGAATTCCGGACAAGACCGCTACTCACATCTGGTACAGCAGATAAGTGAACCCTTTTGTTGAGCATGTTGGATAACCCGGTGTAACTCACAGTACAAGCCTCAAGACATGAATGCTTCGATCTACTCCTGAATGATGCGGCTAGAGCACCTATGCATGAACTCCTTGTACACTAAGCGGTGGTTCAACCACGGCGGGCTGAGCTCGACTGCTGCCGCGGTCAAAAGCATGTTGCGTGGTTGACGGTGTCTAAAGATATTATTTGCATATTCATTTAACTCTTAGGTCGTTTTTTGTGTATACACACTCGCTCATGTATTTAGTTCTGTAGATATATTTATCTTTTAAATGGTTTTGTTTACTCAGCTGTCCGCATACGCAGTTTGCAGCAGGATCCTCGCTGCTGCAGAGCAACTCCACCGCCGCGGCGGTTCGATTCGACACGACGCCCGGGTCCCAGAATAGCGGCCAACGAACTGGGCTTCAAGGCACCCTAAACCTTAAACCCACGTATAGAAGAGTAGCTGTTGGAGACGTGGATGGTTTTTCAACGGGGCGGGCCCTCAAACGGTCCATGCTGTCACTACTGTGCCTTCGCAATTTGATGACTCACAGCCCGACAGCTTTGTTGGACTTGCGCAACTCAAAGGCTCTAATGCCTTGTTCACGTGCGCATCGGAAGACAGAGAAGCTGTCTGCACGGTATACATCACCTAAACCCTAAACCCTAAACCAGCATACCAGAACGCAGCGACACTGTTCATTGATACTGACGGGCTGGGCAGTTGGGAAAACATGGGGCAGGCTGAGGTCCCGGCGTGTTTTCCGCTCTGTTTTCTTTGTGCTGCTTGAAGCTGTTTTGCTACTCTAGGTGGCAATTTGGGAAACTTTTTAATTTCCCTTATGGTTCCTATAGAGGTACCTAATTATTCATAAATTCTTTTCAGAGCCCCCAAAACTACAACCCTGTACTGCATAAAAGCTTCAGGTGACAAAGTTACGAATGTCATTTAGCCGTCTTGGGAATAAGACTTGCCCAAATGCTGTCTTCGCAATACCGCGACAAACTTCTTTGTTGCACCTAACAAGATCTATCAAAGATTCCCCACTGCTGCGCAAATTTTTCAACATACAAACACTTGATGAATTGATAAATAAGGTTGAAGGTTGACTTTACCGATTGTTCCATACAACACATTGTTCGTAAGCTTGGTTCATAGATCTTATGTGGTGTAATGCACCTTTCTTACTTGTTTCGCTTGACTCCTGCAATCGGTGAGCACGGGGGGTCCTGAATAACTGGTACTGCTATGCTGCAGGTTTCCTTATCAAAGGACAGTACAGATGCTAGTTACCAATGCGCCTACAGTAGATTTTCGGCTCCCAATTCTGATATGATTGGGGGTGTTTGCTTCGACTTGCAGGTTATTTTCTGCCTAGGGCGAACATGCAAAGGCATTGAGGCACACATCCTGTTGGCAATTCAGACAGTGAGGGCCTGTTCTGACCCTGTCGCGCCCAAGCTTATTAGTTTGGAGCGGTTACGATCCTAACTAGGATGCCCAGTAGTACCCTTATTCCCTTTTTGTAGTCCTATGTTCCTTTTAAAGTTACCCAATACCAAAAAGAGAGGCCTTTTTATTCTTAGGTTACTGGGTATCCTAGCTAAGTTCGCATCATGCCGAGACCTGTTTGAATCGCTCGTGCAATCTCAATGCATAGCTTTTGTTGTTCAAGATTTATGCAAGAAAACCTCTAGGGCCACTAGGGTGTAGGATGTGTTGTCCAACCGGTTTAAGTGGTGTCTCTTTTGTCAGATACAACCCGCCGATGTGTCACTTACGACATTACGACGCACATCTGGTCGTTAGCTTTCGACACAGCTGCATGACCGGACCTCCCACGACCCTTCTTATCGACCCGCGCGGTAAGCCGACAGTCTCTTGACAGCCTTATCAAATTATCCCGAGCTTATCCTTGCCTTCAGCATCCAAGAGACGGAGGTGGTATTTGGCGCTCTGCGCGGAGATTTTTCTTCTCTTCGGCTTCGTGGGCGGCTGCGCATACTTGCCTTGGGAGCTTCTTGTGATAATGAAGTTTAGAACTTCAAGCTGTCATGGTACGAGAGAGAGAGAGAGAGAGAGAGAGAGAGAGAGAGAGACGCAGCCTCTGCGATTGATCTGCACTTAGAAGTTCATGGGTTGTAACTTGGCAACAGTGAGCAGTGTCATCAGTGTCAGTTCAACGTGAGCCAATCTGCCTCCGTTCTTTTGTCTGCAGTCTACGACACAGTGCCCTGGTTTGTTCCGCACCAGATGACATGTGAACCAGTCTGAAGGCCAATCGCTGAGCTAGTGGACCCAGGAATGGGAAGCCAAACGTGATAAGTCCTTCAGTGTGAGGTCAGGCAGACTGGGTTTCATGGCAGATGAGGACTGTTCAGACAATGGTCGCCCAAATGCATGCTTGCACTAAGTTTCTCCAGACCAACGGACAACGACATCAGACTCGTCCTTGAAGTCGGTGGCGGTGTGATCACTCCGCCGTGGCTTGGCTACCTAATGAAATCCTGCTGCGGATAGTTTCAAGCACGAAGGGAGAGGACCGATGACCGCACTCGTAACACAGGACCCAATAGAACCTGAAGACCTTCACAGGTCGATTGAGGATGGCCAACCTAAAGCAGCCGAAGGCCCTGCCTTTGTTATCGAACCGCAAGCAACAGTCAACCAAGCAACAGCCGTGAGTTTGAAGATAGTGTCGCATCAGCACCAGTTTAGTCACAAGAGCATGCGTTGTTGTGTTCTTGTCTACCACCTCCTCTGGTGTTCTACCATTGTAGGGCCTGGCGGCACCGGCCGGCATGGCCGGCGGAACACGAACTCAAAGCCTGAGCCCGAAGGTTTAGGGTTTAGGGTTTGTCGCTCCCCGCGCCTTTTGTCGGGCGCGCGCGCGTGCCGTACGCTAGCATCAGCAGCATCATTGTCACCGTTGGTGTTTCCTTTCCCTTGCCATGCGGCCTTTGAAACCGCCTAGAGGCGACCCCAAACCCACGTGCCCCAGCATCATCAACGCGATTGGCAATTGGAGCTTCTTTTCTCCTTCGTGAAGTCCTTCATGCTGTACCGCCTTGAAGACTGCGCAATACGAATGTCACCCTCAAACGATATTTTAACATCTTTCTCGCACAGGATGTCACATGTAGTTTGCACATCCGGCAACAATTCACCTGAGGCGAGACACGCAACAGAAGGGGGTTGCAGCCGGGGAGATTCAAGAAACCCGGACCATGGATCATCCGCCGGCATCGGCGAATAGGATGCATAAGGTCTGGCGACAACACCAGGAACAATGAAGTGATGTACCGTCGGCTACGCTAGGGCACCTGCTACAGACATCGGCTGAGTATTCCAGACACCACAGTTCCTTAATCAGTCACGTCTAGAGCAATCGTCGGCATCTTTCCAGCGCCGACGTACACTCAGGCCGTGCCCCTGAAATCTCTCTGACGGTTTGTGGAGATTGAGCTTTCGCAGAGAGTCCATCTCATTTTCTCCTTCTCCCTAAACCCTAAACCCAGTTCATTTGCCAACCAATCCTCCGCAAGGCTAACTCCGAACTGGGCTCCGTCAGTGGATCTGAGTGGAGGACTCAAGTGTGGGACTCAGATGTGTGGAGCGCTGGGGACTTCGGCCTTGACGCTAAGGCGATCATATGTACAGGATTGGTGTGGTGTCTAGACCAGTGTTGGCCGGAGCATTTCAAGGGCATGAAGAGTCAGGGGTTGTGTGGAGCTGAAAGTAGTTTGTCGAAGGGTTTCTTGGATTTGGATTGCCTTTTCCTCAGCTTCAGGAAAACCATGGCTCAACGCTCCCGGACTTGCGGTTTCATTTGTGCCGCTTTCCAGAAGGGCGACTATGACCCTAAGTAGGCGGAATATGTTCATGCGATGTGGGATGATGTTGCCCCCTGGAGGCGGGCACAACCAGGTGCGAGCGTCTGTCCCCTTGACAGTAGCTGTTGATGCAGCAGTTGCTGACTTCAATCTCAAAAACAGGCCTTCGAAACCTTAGAGAACAAGGCTACAAAAGGGCAGGGCTCTGCGGGTTCCAGAGACAAAATGGGTGTTCAGAAAGGTCCTTGTTTTGATCGTGACTACCAGCCGCCCCTGTCTGCTGGGCCTATGAACCCGGATGCAGATTCCCAGGTTCGGTCCTATTGTCACCGGTGACCGGTCCTCACTCGCCGGCCTTTCAGAATCCGTTGGCCTAGAGCTCGATTTTGAGATCCTTGGACAGCGTTGCAGATTAGCCGTGTTACAAGCATGCTTATTGGATTTCGAACAGAGAGTAAGGGTTTATTCTTTTAGGATCCCCCAGGTCATGCCGATAGAAGATCTTGTTTTCACTATGCAGCTGGTTTTGTGCGGTCTCCGTTCATCCGCCATATCGGAAGATAACCACGCCAAAAAGCAACAGAGGAACAAGTGGCTAACAGCTAGCGGTAGTAGCCGTCCAGAACTTGCTGAGCTACGCTGCGCTGGTGGGAGAATACAGGACTACCCATTGCACGCACAGCTAGAAGAGCAACCAACAAAGTTTAGATCTCTTCATACGAATCATGCTGTACCTATATTGTGATGCATGAGAGCTTGAATCAACTATACATGATAGCGCACTCGGAGGCCATCCCTTCGTAACAGTCAGTCGTCCCAGCACTGTCGTTTGAATTTGGGTTCTGATTATTTTACCCAAGGTTAGTCGCTCCACAAAGCCTTGTGGCTCTTTATATCATCAGGCTCTCTGAATCAAAAAATCCGAAATGCCCCGAACTTAGGGGGCGCAAATCACTCTGTCCCATGCATGACTCAACTTCTGCTCTTTACTCTCAATTTCTGCTCTTTACTCTAAGGGCGCCCGAGGGGGTCCCCGCTGGCCTCAACATGGGAACATCCTTCACCTTCGCGACGGATGGCACCTGGTTGCTGGGATGTGCTGGGATGAAAAAGCAGTTTTCGAATTTTGCTGGGATCTGATGATGGCTGATGTGTGAGGCGTGTGGCTTGTGGGCTGGCGCTCCTACTTGAGATTTTGGCTTCCCAAGCATCATGGACACTTCAGGTTGCTACTTGTAGTTGGGTTGCTCCGGACAAGTATTTCCAAGTTCGTCGAGTATATGCTTCACACAAACCTGAGACAGCAGCTTATGAAGCACGGAGCCAGATGCGGCGGTCGCGGAATCTGGCCCTCGTGGTTGTTGCGATTGATTTTGCAGCTACAATCTTCTGTACCAGATGTGCTCCTGCACGCAAGGTTGACATGGGATGGATTTGTGAACGCGGTCATTGGAGAAGGCCCGACGGTTATCGGTCCTATGGGCGGCGCGTTCGTATCCAAGCAGTGCTTCGGACTGCTTTAGCTCCAGAATGAAGAGCTTGAGATTTTACTTGTCCTGCTCGACACTTACAGAAACAAGTATTGCTGTGTTTATAAATGTGAAGACAGGGACTACGGAGGTGGCGGACACGAGGAAGCAAGGAAAGACAACCGATCCTGTTGATGTCACTGTGCATTGCTTCGAGGATGAGAATTTTCATGTAGTCGGAAGTCATTTGATAGAAATGCAAGGGCTGATCCGCCGAACTGACGTGTGAGCTGCATCTGAGGTACGGGTGGGAATTCATCGTAGGGCCCAGCACACGCGAGGCGGGGAGTGTTGGACTTGCGGGTCAGCAAAAGGTTGGGTCGCGTTTTGTTTTACTTTGCGCCTGTGTTAACCAAGGCATGCCTGAGCCGCCCACATAGCCCTTGTATAGCCCATGTATGCTCGCTAATCACGAATCCATGCAAACACATCCAGCGAGTCTTTGGTGGGTATGCCGTCGGGTAGGACATGGGTGGTTTAAAGAAAAGCGATTAGTGGTCGTTCTGACACGACATGCGAACAGCTACATGCCTGGGAATGGCTTTCCGATCGAAGTCTTCGGGAGAATCGAGCCGGCCTATCCTGCAAATCTTTTCGGCCTGCGGACAATGAAACTTCTGTGTTGGAACTCGGCTGCTACCTGTTCTGCTTGTTGGAACAGAATCGACGACAAGCTCAGCGTTTCAGCATCGGCCTTCCTGGTGTTTGTATCATGTCCTCTAAAAAGGGCGAGAACAGTCGAGCTTCTGACGGCTCCTTGTACATGAACTTGGCAGGTTTCAAGAGCTTGTCTCGAACCCTCCCAGCGTTCTCGCTTTCTGGATTCTGAAAACGGAAGCCCGCGGCCGACGACCTTGGCCAGCGCCTACCCTAGGGCTCAAGGTTTAGGGCTTGCAGATAGCCTTGAGGATTGCTCTGTCCTCGCTGGTTTCAGGCTGCTTTTAGGCTTTCATTTTCGGACTTCAGGGTTCTCTAGAATTTCATCTTCGGGGTGACTTCAGGGCTTGCTCTGCGTCGGTTTAAGTCCCTTCGGGACCACTTGAAGGTTTGCTGCCACGTGCCGCGCCGCCCGGCATGTCTGACTTAGCAAAGCCGCGGCCACAATGCACAAGACATGCATCACGGACGCGCATGCTTTTACAGGTCGCTTTCATGTAGGTCAGCATCAGACCTTGAGAGACAGGTACATTTTGATCATACAGGGGCTGAAAAAAGTTGCTGCTTCGTCCCGACGTTTCAATTATTCATGTGACTAGAATGGGGTTCGGCTGGGGGGAGTTACACGCATACAGCATTACACTCAGGAATCCGAAAAGATATGAAGATTCCGGATGATCCCGCAGTCAGGGTTTAGGCTCGATGGATGGGTTCCGGGCTCACCAAAATCTGACTTAAGCTTGCAAGTGTGGCTCGAGGATCTCGGGCTTTTGGGATTTAGGCTTTAGATTTGTGCTTGGCGCATTAGGTTTCTTGAACCTTCAACTTATGGCTTGGTGCTGGAAAACTGAGCTGCATGGGCTGTGGATTTTGCCCGGCTTAACGGCTCTTGGTGATCTGATGAAAGGAAACTTGGTGCCGGATTTCGGTTCGTGGAGTTTCTGACTTAGCACATCTTTGGCTGCAATGGGCAAGTCAGATCCACACGGCAGGAAGATGTCCTGCGAAGCCTGAGTTGTGACCATTTGGTGCTCGAATTGTTGCCTCGGGGGTCTTGAGTTTGCCCTCACGGTTTCCTGAATTCTTTCAGTTTCCGAATTGCGGTTCCCGAATTGCCCCTTGTGGTTTCCGATGTTGCTTCCTGAATTTGGCATCACGCAGGCCTCGTGGTTAGGTCGATGGGTAGGCACAGGGCTAGGGTAGGCCTATCGCTGAGCCGCTAGGCTTCGCGAGGTGTAGGTTCAAGGCCAACCGAGAAACAATTTGGGTTTCGGCTAGGGGTTTATCTGTGGGTAAGCATCGGGCGAGGCTAGGGTAAATCCATAGGGGCTGCAAAACCCGCCTCCTTTGATTTTGGTTGATCACAGTCTTTGTACCCGCCCCCTCATTTGGCGCTCCCGGTTCCACACAAAACTTCAACCCACCGCCTTCTACGCCGATCCCATTCGATCATATGTTACCCCCCCCCCCCCCCCCCCCCCCCCGCCGCCTCATTTCGCCATCCCTGTTATGCCACCCGTTTCCATTTAGCCATCCGGGTTGATCACATTTCTTACGCCGCCTCCTGCGATCGTGTTGAAATCTTTCTGCGGGCGATTCCAATGTGTCATATACCTTAGGCACGACCCCGCATTTGGCGATTTCGAGCTTGCGAACCGCCAGACATATTGCAGTGAACAGTTTTCGAGATATGGGTTTAGGAATTCGGGTTTTCAGTGGCTTTGGAAAACTCGCAAATGCAGCGGAAATGCTGCAGGCGACAGCATTTGCAGCTTGTGAATAGCGAAAATACGCAGAGTTGCAACATTTCGAGCTCTGAACAGCCAGACAGTTTTGGTTCACAGTTTTGGAGGCTTTTGCACATCAGCAAATGCTGCAGTTTATGCTTGTCGCGACAGGAGACGAGAGCCAAGGCAAAGGACAGCAGGGGGCCGCTAGCGTTAGGAAATGAACACCCCCACCGAAGCCGTTTGTGCTCCCCGCTGTCACGCCTCGTATCCTATGTGTTGAAAGCTGGATGCTGCAGGTATTCAATGAACAGAATGAGAACCTCAACAAGGCAAACTCAGCCGGGGGAGACGCAGCGGGACAGTCCCTCGTGCCTTGCCCGCTCTTGGAGGTTTTCGGGCTTTGGTCCGGGTTTCAAAGGCTGAAGAGCACTAGCTTTAAGTCCCCAGAGTTGGGACCCGCCGTCCCTCTCCTAGGTACAAATATCTCAAGGTGATCCAAATGATGGAGCCTTGCAGCGTCGAGGCGTCAGCGTGGCTCCTTGGACGCAGAGTTCTCGGAACTTTTGTGTTGGGGCCCCCCCCCCCAAGATGAAAAGGGGCGGCCACAGCCCGGCAGAATGAGCTTCCTTCGGCGCCCCCACATCTCCGACCAAAACCAGCTGTCAGCAAGCCGACGGAAACCCTGCAAACGTGCATTTTATGACTTTACGGGAAAGCCTGTTCCGGGAAAGCCGTACGGCGACTAACCATTGATATTGGGGGAGCTAAGGAGTCAGGGATGATGATAATCCGTACTAAATAAGGAGCTAAAGAGCCAAGGGAACCCCAAAACCGCTGATTAGGCGAGCCCTAAACGGCCGTAACTCAGTCCTACACGGCCGCTGCGGGAGCGGCCCAAGGCCGGACCATTGTGGTGATACGGTTGATGATAAAAATCCTGCATTACCCATAATAAGGAATGTACCATAATTCCCATAGTTTAGGGTCTTTAAGGTAATGCAGGATTTATATCGTCAGCCGTAGGGGCAAGGCGGCAAGGGGTAGCTCGTTATCGGCAGTAGTATACGGGAGTTTCCGAAAAGAGGGGACCCTAATATAGCACCCTAAATAGTAGGATCCTTACCATAAGGACCCCAAAGGAAGGTACCCCTAATTTTCGGAAACTCCCATACATCTCAATTTGAGCCTCTTTGCTGCAGCTGTGGGAAGAGTTTTGGCAGAAACCTTCAGCGGCAAGTACACCAAGATGCTTCAATGAAGACATGCTGTCTCCGTCCATCTCCAAGGCAAACTGGTCACAACCGTTAGCTTGCAGGTGACTCTTTCTGCACCGAGAGAAGAACAAAGCCTGGAACTCACAACCCAGCAGGAACTCAGCTTCCTGTCGTCAACAACCAGCCAGCCGACGAGAAGTGGATCAATGGTTACTTGGTCACGAGCGCATCATGGTGGCATCTTGCTGCGGCCAAATTTCTCGTAGAAGGGCTCCGACTGTTCAGCAAAGCCTGTGAAAATCCTGCCAGGGACCCTTCCACAAAGAGTTTCTCCAGAGTTCGCAAGATACTTCTGCCATCAGGAGGTCCGCTCGAGCAGCACTTGTTTTTTGTCCGCGAAGCTGAACGTAGGGTCCACTGTTTTTTTTTTTTCCTAGGTCTGGCCTGGTCTGGGGGGCCTTGCTAGGTCTGGTCCCATGGTCCCCTGGCCCTTTGGTCCTCTGGTCCTGGTCCTTTGGTCCTCCGGTCCCCTGGTCCCTGGTCCGCAACGCCAGAAGACAGAAGATTTGAAATTGGCATTTCGCACTATTCACACGCGAAACACGACCCTGCAAATTGTAGTGCTCCAATACCTTCATGCAATACACAAGCAAAACCAGACCCTGCGAATGCTAGTTCCCCATTAGCTTGATGAAAAACACAAACAATAAAAGACTCTGCAAATTGTAGTTCCCCAATAGCTTGATGCAAAACACAAACAAGGGGATAGGGGTTAAAAAAATTAAATAAGGATCAAAAAATTAAATAAGGATCAAAAAAATTAAATAAGGATCAAAAAAATTAGACGGGTATCCGCGAAAGGAAGGGGAAAAAGGCAGGAAAGAAAGACAGAGAGAGAGAGAGAGAGAATGAGAGAAAGAAGGAAAAAAGAACGAAAGAAAGGAAGGAAGAAAGAAAGCAAGGAAGAAAGAAAGAAAGAACGAAATAAAGAAATAAAAAACAACGAAAGAAAGAAATAACAAAAGAAAGAAAGAAAGAAACAAAGAAAGAAAGAACGCCATGCAAGAAATAGAGAAATAAGTAAATAAAGAAAGCTACAAGTAAAGAAAGAAAACAAAAATAGAGAACTAAGTAAATCTAAAGAGGACGAAAGAAAGGAAACCAGAAAGAAAGAAAGATAGAACGAGAGAGAGAACGAAAGAACGAAAGCAAAAACGAAAGAACGAACTAAAGCAAGAACGAAAGAAAGAACGAACCAAAGAAAGAACGAAATAAATCAAACAAGTTTGACATGAACAAAGAAAGAACAACAGAAAGAAAGAAAAGAAATGAGCGAGCGAAAGAAAGAAAGAAGTCCAGAATAAAAAAGCAAAGTTGGAAAAGACGAAAGAGAAAGAATATGAAAGAATCACAGAAACAAAGATACAAGCAACAGGATACTACATAGTCCAATCGAATTTACCATAATATCGTAATGTACCGTAACATAATATAACATAATGTAACCTAATGTTATAAAATATACTACATATTATGTTGTAAATATACACACTGTATTGTACTATGTTACAATGTACTACACTATAAACTAAGATGTTGTTTTGTTCTATGTCATCTTCTGTTATATTGTATTGTTGTATTTTTAGTATGCTATTATATGCTATAAGAAGCAAGGTTCTGTTATGTCAGAAAATGTCACACCATTTTTGTGTTGTCGAACCATCTTATGTCGTTCTTCTGGTTTACTATGTTATATATATATAGGTTAGAATGCTAACGGAAGAAGAGACACGAACAGGCACGGAAGAACAAAACACCCGCCGCCGCGCTTTTCGAGACGTGCAAGCTTGATTCAAAGAGTGTTTTCGAAGCCCATCATGTGAACGTTGTCTCTGCAAATGGGGGGGGCTGCGCCCCCCCCAACCCCCCCGCTGTTTTAAGCCGTGCAGGGTTGCTTTGAAGCATATGCCTTTGTTTGAAACCCAGCAAATGAGGGCGTCTCCGCCCTTGTAGATACATGCTGACCCAGAATCGCCAAATGAGGGGCGTGTTTAAGATAGATGATGAAGCGGATTACCAGCAACAGCTACAACAGGAAATCCGTCCTAAATGTGAAATTGTAAGGAAAATTTGATTTTCCCGAGGAACAACCATATGTTGTCCTTCTGAAAACCTGAAGAAATGACACGAACGCCATAGATAATAGGAAAATAGGCTTTTCCTGCGAAAAATCAAGGAAAACTTAGGGAAATACCACGGAATCCGCAGGAATATCGTGTTTTCCAGAGGAAAAACCAAACAGATCCTAAGGAAACAAAAGAGCATCCCTAGGAAAACAGTGTTTTCCCTTGGAAAAATTCAGGAATTGCTGTATTTTAAGTGATTTAATTTTTTTTGATCCTTATTTTAATTTTTTTTGGATGCCTCTGCCCCAGGAATTGCTGTATTTTGAGTGATTTAATTTTTTTGATCCTTATTTTAATTTTTTTGATCTTTCCATTTAACTTTTTTGATCCTTATTTTTTTTTTTGATCCCTCACCCCAAACAAGGCCGACCCCGCAAATTGTAGTTCCCCCATTAGCTTGATGCAAAACACAAGCACAAGAACACACCGCAAATTGTAGTTCCCTAGTGGCTTCATGCAAAAGACAAGCAGATGAACACACCGCAAATTCTAGTTCCCTAATAGCTTCAGGCAGAACACAAGCAGAAGAAGACCCTGCGAATTGTAGTTCCCCTATAGCTTGATGCAAAACACAAGCAACACCGATCCTTGCAAATGCGAACCCCCCAATAGCTTCATGCAAAACATCAAGAAAACCGAACCCTACAGCAACATCAAGAACACCAGCAACAGCAACAACAACAATTCAATTGAACGCTGTGCGAGCGGGCTCGCAACAACAACAACAACAAGAACAACTACCACGACGGCAACGACGAGGACGAGGACGAGGACGACGACGACGATGACCTAGATGTCGACAACGACACCAAAAAACAACGCCAGAAGACAGAAGATTTGAAATTGGCATTTCGCACTATTCACACGCGAAACACGACCCTGCAAATTGTAGTGCTCCAATACCTTCATGCAATACACAAGCAAAACCAGACCCTGCGAATGCTAGTTCCCCATTAGCTTGATGAAAAACACAAACAATAAAAGACTCTGCAAATTGTAGTTCCCCAATAGCTTGATGCAAAACACAAACAAGGCCGACCCCGCAAATTGTAGTTCCCCCATTAGCTTGATGCAAAACACAAGCACAAGAACACACCGCAAATTGTAGTTCCCTAGTGGCTTCATGCAAAAGACAAGCAGATGAACACACCGCAAATTCTAGTTCCCTAATAGCTTCAAGCAGAACACAAGCAGAAGAAGACCCTGCGAATTGTAGTTCCCCAATAGCTTGATGCAAAACACAAGCAACACCGATCCCTGCAAATGCGAACCCCCCAATAGCTTCATGCAAAACACAAAGAAAACCGAACCCTACAGCAACAACAAGAACACCAGCAACAGCAACAACAACAACAAGAACAACTACCACGACGGCAACGACGAGGACGAGGACGAGGACGACGACGATGACCTAGATGTCGACAACGACACCAAAAAACAACGCCAGAAGACAGAAGATTTGAAATTGGCATTTCGCACTATTCACACGCGAAACACGACCCTGCAAATTGTAGTGCTCCAATACCTTCATGCAATACACAAGCAAAACCAGACCCTGCGAATGCTAGTTCCCCATTAGCTTGATGAAAAACACAAACAATAAAAGACTCTGCAAATTGTAGTTCCCCAATAGCTTGATGCAAAACACAAACAAGGCCGACCCCGCAAATTGTAGTTCCCCCGTTAGCTTGATGCAAAACACAAGCACAAGAACACACCGCAAATTGTAGTTCCCTAGTGGCTTCATGCAAAAGACAAGCAGATGAACACACCGCAAATTCTAGTTCCCGAATAGCTTCAAGAACACAAGCAGAAGAAGACCCTGCGAATTGTAGTTCCCCAATAGCTTGATGCAAAACACAAGCAACACCGATCCCTGCAAATGCGAACCCCCCAATAGCTTCATGCACAACACAAAGAAAACCGAACCCTGCAACTTGTGGTTCCCCAACAGCTTCATGCTAAACACAAGCAAAACCAGACTCCGCAAGTTATAGTTCCCCAATAGCTTCATGCAAAACAGAAGCAAAACCAGAGCCGTCGAATTCTAGTTCCCAAATAGCTAGATGCAGCAAAGACCGCAGTTGCCGCTGTTGGCAACCACAACCAGTGGGCCAGACTTAGGAAAGCAAGCCGGGGAGGGCCAGACCTAGGAAAAAAAAACCGCTCCGCCGCTGAACGTATAGTGCCCTAAATAATGGGATCCTTATTATTAGGACCCCAAAATAAGGTACCCCTATTCAGACCCTGGAAAGCTCCTGGCCTTTACTCGGTCTCTCGTGCTGGATCAAATTTAAGCGGTGCTGGTGGGTTGGATAAATATAACACTGCCTGTCCCGAAACAGCAGAAGCGCTGTCTCTACAAAAGCACAATCAGTAGTGCGCCCACCACAGCAGCCGCTCCACGATGGAGCCCATACTTTCCCACATAAAGAGGGAAAGCGCCGGCCTTCAATCCCGGATTCCCAAGCTCCCAACCAGAGACTCTTTGGCCGTGCCGTTAGGGCCTTTCACTTCGCTGGGGTAACGAAGACAGTGCGCCAGCAGAGGTGATTGTGGTTGGGTTAGTTGCGGAGGAGAAGGTGGTGAAACAGCATTGCATGATGTTGATGCACGCCAAAGCGGTACCCCCTAAACCCTAAACCCCTAAACCCTAAACCAAAAAAAACCTTAAACCCCTAAACCCTAAACCCCTAAACCCTAAACCCTAAACCCCAGCCTAGGGCAGCCTAGGGGATCACTTGCATCAAGGCATCTCCGCTCGAGGGGCCGATGGAAATTCCGACTCTGGCGCGCTACGGTATCTACGCTGGTGCAGCCCCGCTGTGTCTGGGTTAAGGGTTTACGGGTTTAGGGTTTAGGGTCTGAGTCTTGTGGCAACTGCTCTAGACTCCGACCCCAATTTGGAGAAGAGGATCTGGTAGGCCATGCCGTTAGCAGCTGTTGATTGTTCATTCTTGGCCTGCAAAGGCCTGACCGTGTTTTCGGCAGACCTTGGCAATCCCTTGGGCCCTCGCTTCTCAATTTCGGTTGACTTCACCTCACGAGCAGGTCACACTTCACCGTTTGCTGGTCTACTAGTGGGGATTTGTAGAAGCGAGAACCACGAGGCCGACAACCTCTGACATGGCTTGTTTCAGAATGTGCTCTGGGACAATCCCGCAGGCATGGAGTGCATAAAAGCGTTTCATTTGCCCAACAGGTGCAAGCTGCGCAGTGGGCACCGACGTCATGTCAGAAGAGGAGTGCAGACAGGCGCTGGCAGGTCACAAACAAAAGCAGCATCAAGAGCACGATTTTGCCGATGTACATTCAGCAGTACACCAATGACCTTAACAACGCCATTTGTTTGCGAGTAGCCCAGAGAAAATAGGAACACGTGGAGGGGTGATGCCTTCCTTACATCTTAGCCTCCAAGCCCTATAGCACAAAGGCGCTTTGGGTTTCCATCACGTAGTAGTTGACCAATCTGCCCTGATCGACGCCCTCCCCACATAAGGCCAATAGACTGCAGCCCAGCACTGAAGCCCAACTCCTGCAAAGAGAGTCCCTTAGGCCCAGGTTGCGCCGGAAACCCTGATGGGAGGCCGGGGAGTTCCTGAAGAATGCAAAGGGACGCAAGGGCACCACGGCCTTCGTCTCTGGAGCCATGGCTCACACGAGGTTCCCTTCATCGTGCCATAGTGCTGTTCGGGCTGAGCATCTCGGAGCCTGTGACACGAAGCAAGGTCATAAGCTCCAATGTTGAAAATAAAAAAATCCCAAACAAATGCCTGCCAGCAGGTTGAGGCATGCCTTCATCTTTCGTGTTTAGAGTACTTGTGCCGAATGCGTAGCCAGGAGTTGTCTCAGGTTGGAGATTCGGGGTTGAGTCGACTTCTGCTTCTATAGCGATGAAGACTGCTAGATGGTGGACTTGCGAAATTCGGCTTCCTGCAGGAGTTTGCTCGAATTTGTGTCAGATGCGATGCAAGGACGGATGGTGCAAGCTGGGAATTACAAACGGTTGCCCATGTGGCGAACAGGTACAGCATGCCTGCACGGAAGCCTGAAAAACAAGAAGCACTGGCTTTCTGGCAGAACCTGAGTGGCCGCAACTGCAGGGATTGACTTGAAACTACGTTTCCGGCAGGCTCAGAACAACTTTGGCAAGCATTTGGCAGGTGCGAGAAACTGCAGAATCTTTGCCACCAGAAGTGCCAGAATCCTGCAAGATCAGCCTCCCGCTTCCCCCCCCACAAGTGCTCCCCCTGAACAGCTGTTGGCCATTTTTGTTCCGATGAGTCTGCTCTTGCAGTTGCTTTTGACATGGAGGTATCGAACGTTGGTAAGAATCTAGAAAAGCAATCTGCCGATTCTCCACGCTTGGCGAGACTTATTAAGAGAAATGGCGGGAGATGGCCGACATGTGGTGTGGGACGGACATAACCATTGTAGCACCTTCCTCTCAAGATGTGCATGAGCAAGGTTCGAACACCCCACTTGCTGGACTGTTCACCATCTACGAGGATAGCAAGCTTTACCTGCTATAAATGCTTTTGATTCTTTCCGACCTGCCCAGTATCCTTTTACTTGCTTGGCGGGATTGCACAGCTGCCTGATGGGCACTTCTGAGCATTTTCGCTGTGGAACGCCGGCTGGCAAGAGCAGTATTCCTGATTCCCTGGCCATAAATGCATAACTGCACTCAATGGTGTTTTTGCCTCCCTGGCCCTCTCGCCCAGAGTGGGAACAGTCGCAGCAATCGTGCTTGTACCGGGTTGCCATCGTTGAGCGGTCCATCGTTCTGGGCTCGCCATCTTTACAAGCGTCACCATTCTATCGACAGTGCTTCAAAGCTTGTGGAGATGGCGATGCCCAGATCTCGCACCGATCGCTCTTGATTCCTAGGATGCTAGGGGCAGCTGACCACCGGAAGCTCGAGCCTGCACTGCAAGTCAGAAGGACCCGCCTCACCGGCGCTTTCAACAAGGCGCCCGGTGCAAGTACTTTGAAGTAAAGATGCAAGGCCCACAACGGTACCGGCCTGCTCCAGACGAAAGCTATAACTGCTGCTGACGTCCACTGTTTCGTTTCATGTCGCTTCGTGTGTCGTGGACGTAGGCACAGGCGATCTTGCTGGACAGAAAACAAAGCGAGTCTGCCCTTCGCGAACTCGACGGATACCTTTCGATCTGTCATGCTAAGTTGCTTCTAGCGAGCACCTCCAGCCAAGGAAAATGGGGAGGGGTCCCCTTCGGGTGCAGCAACCAAGTATCAAGCGGCGCTTTCCATTACCAACAAAATGTCGCTTGGCCTATTCTGTTGAGCGTTTGGGTTTTGGCCTTTAGTGATGCGTTCGTGAAGTGTTAATCGAGATTCGGAAATCTCTATGTCCGTCATGTGGCTCCATGGTGGTCATTCCCAGAGCATCATGTACTGCCTCTGACCTTTACGCCTAGCTTAGCTCAGGTCCAATCTGACAACTCCCGGGCTGCGAACGACGAGTTTCGCATGATTTGCAGAAAGCCGGATTCACAGAGAGAAGCCTGGAAGCTCACATGGCACACAATGTGTCAAAACTTGCAAGATCTTGCAAGTTTCACGTTTCCGATTCCTCGACAGTAGCAGGAGCCTCTCACCGTCCCGTTTCCTTGCTGATACCAAATCATCCTGCACTGGCCTCAGGCAGTTCTTTCGGGGAGAAGCCAACCAGTGGTTTCTTGGCCAGTTTTGGACACGCTCATGTCAGATATAAAGCTTGTCTTGCACAACCCCCAACGCTCGACGTAAAGCAATGTAGGCATTACGACTACGAACAACCGTGAGATACATGCAAGTGTAAGCAGCCGGGTTGATCCCCAATGTTGTTGAGGTCAATTGTGCGCTGCGAGCCTTACCCCAGTTGAGCACGTTGCATTCAGATGCTGTAGACCCTGTGCGTTCGGTCAAGCGGCTTGTTCGGCATATTGTGGCTCTCCGTTCTACATCTTTTAGCCTGGTGAAATCGCAGCACGGGTCTGAAAGGAAATGCAAGGGCGGCCACAGGATTCATCGCAAAGCAGAATGCGTGTCTTGGATCTTCAAAACATGCTGCTTGCAGTCGTGGAAGCTCATCATTGTCTCGAAGTTCTCGTTGTCGTCTTTCTTGTTTGTATGTTAGAGTGGCACAGCAGCAAGTGACAACAAAATCGTTCGTGCGGTCGCTTTACTTGAAAAGGCCACAGACTAAGGTCTCTGGTTCTACATGTGGGCATATTCTTGTTTTGGGCTTTTGACATGCCTCAGGGGGTGAAAGGGTCCCCACAGCATGGTTTCGCGTATCAGGAAGCCGAATTCAGGAGTTCGACCGACAATATGTCTCACTATTTTGGGCTCATCCCGTTTGGAATCGTGTATAAACTTTTAGAGCCATGCCGTACGAGCTGAGCTTTTGGGTGGCGGAGCCCCAAGTCAACTGCAGAAAGAGCAATCGGGGACGCGTGGTCTTCGACCTATTCTCAAACTTTAAATGGGTAAGATCCACAGTGGCTACTTGATTGGACTTCTGGGGTATTAAAAACTTTAAGTGGGCGTTTTTGGTAAGCAAAACTGGCGATGAGGGATGAACCTAACGTCGGGCAAAGGTGCTTAATTACATGCTCATCAGATACCACAGAGGGTGTTGGTTCATTTTGACAGCAGGACGGTGGTCATGGAAGTCAAAATCCGCTAAGGAGTGTGTAAGAACCACTCACCTGCCGAATAGACCCGAAAATCCATGGCGCTCAAGTCGGCGACCGATACCCGACCACTGGTGCAATTGTGCAGGTTCAAATACTTGTCCAAGGTTAGAGTGCTCGGGGCTTAAGATGCGGCTGACTGTGCCTGGAGCAGCAGAAATTCACAGTCTCAGCTTTCCAGACGACGAACAAGGCAGACCCCGAGCCTAGACCCCTCGGCTCTTTGTGCGGAAGACAGGGCACGAGGCAGCGACGCATCGGACCTCACCAAAATGTAAAGAGAAGGCTCTATTGGATTTTTGATGACCGCGGCTGATATTGCTGCCGAGGTCGATGCATACATGCAGCTACAGGCCACCCTGCAACTTGGCTGCCCTTGGGAAACGCTACAGCCCGACAGCAAGTTAATAGTACGTAGTGACTAAGTGTTTGTTGCCCCTTCGAGCATCTGCACCAGGAGAAGAAGGGAATAATGATAGTGATGATGACGATCACCATCATCATGATGATGACAACAGCTGCAACAGAAGGAACAGGAGCAACAAGGACCAGTCAAACTGTCCAACCTGCATGAACCTACCTTTCGATGAGTTTATCCAATTCCCAGGTCATGCTTAGGTCTAGCAGTCTAGCAGAAGCAGGAGTACTGTGTAGCCGTCGTGATAGCAACATGTTCACATGCCGAGCCCGGCAAACTTGCGGAGACGCGCAGGCCCCTCAATTCCAAACCGAAGCACTTTGTATTCTGTATGGCTCATTATTCCTCGCCTTTCAGTCAAGTGATTCAGGGCTTTGTATCACGTCTTATCACGTTTGATGTTGCAGGTATGCGTAGGCTTCCGCAGGGTTTTTGTTCTGTGGAAGGCTGTGCTTGTTGCTGGTTTCCATGTCTTCCCAGGTTGGGCTTAAGAACTGCAGATTATAGCAAGCTCATGTGACGTTTGTTTGCGTTGTTGTCGCTTTTACAGTTTGCGAAACTTTCAATATTCATCACAGACAAAGCCAGGGTAGTGAAGAAGCAGAAGCAGAAGCAGAAGCAGCAGTGATCACCAAAGTCGCCGTCGCAGCAGTCATGGTTGTGGTGATTGCGCTGGCAATCCGAACATGGAGGCTTTCTCTGTGCATATGAGAAGGTTGGAATCTGTCGGTCCCACCGGCCACTTAGCCTGGGCTGGGCACTACGACCGCTGACCGGTTGATGTCGACCTGGGGTGCTGTCCTGAGTTAGGAGGGGGGGGACCCGGGGGGAGGAGTGGGAGCCATCATGAAAGGCACGGAACAACTGTCGTCACTGAGATGTAGTAGTCAGTAGTCCCACCTGAGGGTTGAAACCGAAGCCTTCTACGGGGGAAGGGGGTATATAAGTTTATGGTGTCAGAACTGGCCGACGCGATGAACTTTCGTCCTGGAACAGCATGAGCTCCAGCTTTGATAGTTGTGGCAAGTCGTCATTTCTGCGTGAAACATCGGGGCTATCTCAAGATCATGCAAGGAGGCCATTGCAAAAGAAAGAGTCGCGTGGCACGATCCCAGCATGCGCGCCCCTAGTACTGCTATAAGGGACGGGACCCTGGCCGTCACCAAAATGCATGCCGCCTTTTGTGATTTTTGGCAGACACAGCTGTCCGGAGACCACGGGTCGTGACTCAGATGCCCCAGGCAGTGTAGTCAAGACAGTTTTGGCAGCCGTCCCTAATTGTGTTTAGTCCGGCGTGAGCACCAGTAGGATGAAAGCTTTATCGCATTAGCGTGTATTTCGGCGGGTCGGAGGAGAATTGGGAGTACAAGCAAGTGCATGTTACGTGGCCCGGCCAGTGGAAAAAAATCTACGCTGTTTTATTTTCAACATATATTGCTATTCTGTTCAAGACGGAAGAGTTTAGCACGTCCATGCTCCCAGTCTGCACTTCGTGGGGGAGTCTATGGGGGAAGGGAGGTTTACCTGTTGATGGTGTCAGAAGTGCCCGATCCGAGGATCTTAGGTCCTGGGTTCTTCTGTCGTCATGCTGTGCCAGAAGCGACAGTCGGTCACAAGCCTTAAAACCACGAGCACGACCTTCAACTGCTCATTTTCCACTATGGGCTATTATACCCTAAAGATCCCTATTAGGACCCTATTAAGGGTAGATTAAGGTACCCATAAGGTCTAAGAGCCCATAGTGGTTCCAGGAAAGTGGATCCAACCAATCCCAACGAGAGATTGAAACGCCCGCGACAGAGCGACGCAGAGGCGCAGGGTTCCAAACCGTCACATTTTTTTAGCGTAATGTTGACCGGGCAATCCGCATGGACAGTAGTAACAACCACAAGCACATTGAAGAGCAAACACTAGTATATCTACACCAGACTTAACAAACAGAAGGTCCACAGCAATAGCTTCCGTCTTGTTTTCGCAGACTGTCAAGCCACTGCCTGGGACTACCTGGGACTACGTAAGGATGCCTAGTGGACCAACACAGCAGCAGACAGCATCCGTAAGTCGCGCTCAGAAGAATGTCGATTCAGCGTGTACAATAACACAGTATGACATCTCGCCGTGAAAGGCTGTGAAGGGGGAGTGGGACCGGAACCCACCAACCAGCTCAATCAATGCCTTAGTCGTAATTTTCACTATTGTTCTAAGTCAGCTGGCATCGTACTTATCAGTGTCGTGCTCATAATGCCTGTGTGTCTTTCCATTTCCTGAGCTTTTTTCGTCTGCGCCTGGTAAGCGGCCGATGACAGGTCCTCCCGGGAGGTTATTGGTGGCCAGAACGAGTGCCGCCGCTGTGTTCCGTGGAGCACGACAACAATGACTGGCCCACCAGGTGAGTCAGGGTTTATGGTCCGAAAGACGTGGTTGTTTGCCCATCTCCTCCGGCCAGGCAGCATCTCTGGGATGGCAACTATGACAAGCCCATCAATTGGGGTTTCAAGCAGGAATCGCAGGGTGTGTGCAAACCGCCGTGCTCCCAGAGGGTGGCATCTTCTGCGCTAATGCTTTGCATCGGAAACTTCCAGGACAACCATCGGGTCCTTTGCAGGAAGAAGTACTTTTGGCTCGAGAGGACCTGCAGGGCGGCACAACCGAAGGTTGAGCTTCGGAGTTCGGGAAGGGCAGAGTTCCCAGACCTTCCATAAAATCCCTTAATTAAGGAATATACCTTAAATTATAATAGGATCCCTAATATGATTCAAGGTATATTCCTTAATTAAGGGATTTTGGAAGGTCTGGGTTCTAGGGGTGTTGTCCATGAAGCTTAGATATGTTCCCACGCTCGGATCCTACCCCCTTTGGGCACCCCTTCAAAAGTTTGCGCCTGCGCTTCCTAACCGCATTTATGGCCAGGTGACATTGCTGAAGGAAGCCTAAGAAACACTACTTGTTTCCTGTCATGCCCGATGTCTCCCGGGCATTCAAGAAGCGCCGTAGACCGAATATTGATTATTGAGTTGAACCACCTGCTTTAAAGCCTAATGTCCCGATCTGCCCCCTGAAGCTTGACCCATCCACCCCAAGATGCAAACTCCTGTGCTCTTAACCCATGACCCCTCGTCATGTCTATTGACTAGAAGCTGCCCCCACCCTGTAATAGTGATATAATAGGAAAATAATAGGGCCCTAATATAATCCTATAGAATCCTTGTGGTCACTTTTACAGGGTGGGGGCAGCTTCCAATCTATTGACCCTGTGTCCTGCGCCAGGGACGGTGCACTCGTTTGCCCATATGGGTCCCAGATCACGAACTCCCAGGAGACGACGAGTTTGTTAGGGTTTAGGGGTTTAGGGTTTAGGGCTTTAGGGGTTTAGGGTTTAGGGTTTAAGGGTTTACGGGTTTAGGGTTTAGGGCTTGGGGATTCTGGCCGGGCGAGCACTAATCAAGCCTGTGGAAAAAGGGTTTAGGGGTTTAGGGTTTAGGGATCATTGGAGCTTTGATGGTTCGACTTACAACGCCAATGTGGTGTTTACATCCCTCATTGCAGCTATGTTGTTTGTCGACTGCTTCTTGTGTAGTCACCGCCGCCACAGGTGTGCGCGGACGCATTTGAGGCTTTGAAATCGAGCCTCTCGACTGCATCCCGGAAGCTGAGAAAGTTCGCCCTTTAGGGTTTTGGTTTAAGGTTGTTGCTTTAATGGGCGTGCGCTGGTGGGGACGTTGATCAAAATAGTCGTTGGAGCCGTGCTGTTGTAATCAGGGTCCAAGACATGCGCTGTACTTCGTAGCAGTTTATGTATGCCAACGATCGAAGAGGCGACGATTCGGCTTTACGGAGCCACGTCGGTGGCCACGGAATTGAAGCTTTCCTCAGCCACGTTTCATTGCACCGGCCCGTGATGCGGAAGGCTGGCCAATGTAAAGCAAAACCACTCAAGAACCTAGATACAATGTTCTCTTTTCAGCACAACACCGTCGCCACTACCACAGGGCACTTCTCAAAGCTAACGACAATCAACAAATCACTTCCCCCAATCCCTAAACCAAACACACCCTAATAATACAAACACTTTCTAGGGAAATCCCGCTGAAATCATCCCCGCTTTTTGAATAAACCTCTTCTGAATTAGGGTGGCCTGGGAGCAAAAGCAGGAGCAAGAGCAGGAGCACAAACATGAGTAGGAGCAAGAGCAGGAGCAGGGGCAAGAGCAAAAGCACGAGCAAGAGCCAGAGCAGGAGCAAGATCCTTCCCAATGTGATACTCGAGCCACAACAACACCTTCGAGTTTCTGTTTGGGGAAGGGGAGGCCACATGGATATTAGGGGGAAGGGATTACCCCCCGAGTAGCATGCAATCCCCAAGCCGAATCATTACTTTGTCCGCCCAGGCTTCCCAAATGATATTTCACCTCGAAGTGCCTGGGACGGCAGCAGTTTCGACTGCACTTTCAGCATTAGCATCCCTGCTTCAGTCCAGCTCACTACGGTCGGCCTCAGGCTGATGCTGACGAAAGCGGGTGTCATGCGAATTTCGGTTTCCTCGGCGAGGCCTTTATGTCCTCTCAGATCCGGCCCTGCCGCCGGGATGCTCCGTGATGAGCCTTGGGCGCAAGAAGCGGTTGGATGGAGCCTCCGCTCTTTGGTGCCCTTCTTTGAAGTCCCCAAAATGCCTGGACTCCACATTCCGGGGTCCGTTCCCACAGCAAGACAGCACAAGCGTTTTTCACCCGACAGCTTGTGTTTCAGCAGTCCGTTCAATAGTTTGTCATGTCTGCTTAGCGCAGGGCCGGCGGTGACTACACTCCGCACTTCAACGACCCTCTGCTGCAAAACAGCACGTGAATTTCTGTCGATCCCTGCAAAGGGTTTTCTTTATTTTCATCGAGGAATTGGCAGTCTTCTCAACTGTTGATGTAGGATCACGGAACATTTTCAGCATAGCATGCCTAGTTGAAGTGTCATGAGTGGCCCAAGTATAGACTTGTGTCTGAATACGCGTATCTTGGCTCGTGCGCCTTGCACGACACACAAAACAAAACTGCGTTCCGCTTCACGCATTTAGTGTTAGAATAACCCTAATCCCCAAACCCCTAAACCCGATACTTTAGGCTCGTTCATCCCCCGCCCCTCATATCAGGAAGCACAATGACAGCAAGTATCGCACGCGGCTCCTTGACTCTGGCGGTCCCCTCCCCCTACTTTGGTATAGTTGTAGGACGGAAGCGGAACAAGATAGAAGCACCATTGAAACTCCTTGTCATTTCTTTCGGCTGGTGGCTTGGAGAATGCACCGGGCCATTTTCAGGCACGTTGCTTTCTACCAGCGATGGGACGTCCCAAAGAACGACCATGTTCATCTGGGGCCACGCATTGTTAATGTTAAGCCCTGAAGGCTTCAGGTTACTAGGATCTTGCGAAGTTCGAAGGAAGCAAAGGTCCAAATTAGGTCCTGTGCAAGCGCCCCCTGGGCAGTTCATGGATCGATTTGGTCGTGAAGTCTTCTGGTTTTCGAGCTTATCCTCACTGGTGAAGAAGCTTCGAGGAAAGATTTCGGCCAGAAATTGTGCACCAGTGCAGAGAAGTGACGTACGAGGCTAATGGCAACGGGGATGCAAACATAGTTTTTCTGAGTAGCATTGGAAAAGAGGGTGGCAACTCTTGTATTGAAGCCAGGGATTGTGACGAGATCACTGGCGCATGTTCTGCCCAGGAGTTCGCATCTCCGAACGCAGCACGAGCAGCAAGTGGAGAATTCAGGCCAATGTGCTTCTCGGCCACAACACCTGTGGTTGACTGTAAATGCACGTATCTGCTCCAAATTCGCCTGGTATAGTCTTATATGACCTGCTATATATGAGGGTAAGAAATTCTATAGACCACCCAATCATGCCCATGCAAGAGGACCAGGATGAGGTAGGGATGTCGGCAGGCCGGCACCCAGCCCCATGAAATCCAACTTGAGAAGATCGTTCTTGCCACCCAGAGCTGCTTTGAGCCAAGATGCTTAGGCCAAGTTATAGGGAACAAACTCCCCGCAACGTCAAGACTCGAACGGATTGTCAGCAAAGGTTCAATCAAGTTTCAGCCAAATCAGATGCCACTCTCCTTGTCATTACCTAGCGTAGCCGATTTGCTTTGCCGTGTAGGAGCGAAGGGCAGGTGGACCCGGATCCTTTCCCGATAGAACCCAGAGCATCCGATATTGATTTTTTTCAATCGAACGCTTGATTTTTTCAAAAATTCAAAACCCTATTGATTCTGGTGTTTTTCAATCGAATCGCATTCTGTTGTTCGGTCGGGTTCGATTGATTTCTGACACTGCATTCTATTGATTTTATCGTGGCCTGTTTCAGGATTTCTCGATTGATTTCACGACTGTCTCCTCGATTGATTTAAGAATGGATTTTCTATTGAAATTATTCGGGATTTTCTATTGAAATTATTCGGGATTTTCTATTGAAATTATTCGCGAGTTTCTATTGAAATTATTGGCGATTTTCTATTGACATGATGTAGCTATAAGTTTACAAAGCATGTGCACACAGAGACACACATGCAACACGTTTGTTAGTGCAGGGTTGGACACGGAAGCCCCGATTCATCGTCGAGGTTCGCTGTCTATGTGGGTTGGACAGCCCAGGATCTATGCTGGATTTGTAGAACATGCAGGAAGGAAGCTTGATTGTGTAGGTTTCTGTGCAGGTGTAGCTGTTTCAATGTTCAAGCTAAGATACTGCCGGAGTAAAGTAATGCATTGTCAGTTTTGCTGGTTATAGCTATAGGTTTTCCGTTTTAAGTTTACACGAACTCTTGCAAAGTTTACACGAACCAGCTGTTCCTACTCTACGTATCCAAAGACAAAAGCCCCAAACCCTTAAACGAAACCCTAGTCACTAACTCATTAACCGACCCAACAAAAGCTGGATATGTTCATTCAGGTTTGGGGGGTTTTGGAGTTTAGGAGTTAAGAGGTTCAGAGGTTTAGAGGTTTAGGGGTTTGTGTATATATATATATATGTATATATCATCTATGTATATGTATATATGTACATATATATATATATATATATACATACAATATGTATATACACATATAGGGCTTTAGCGCATTGGGGGTTTGGGATTTTACGGAGAAAAGAGTTTCGGGCTTTGGGGTTTTGGGGGGGGTTGAGGGCTTCGGGGTTTAGGGGTTTTGTTTTCAAGTCTGAGGGTTCAGGGGACTAGCAGGTTAGGAGTTTAGGGGATTAGGGGTCTGGGGTTTCAGCTTCGGCGCCAAGGGGTTTTGGGGTTTCGGGGTTTAGGGGGTCTAGGGGTTCAGGCGCTAAGGTGTTTAGGGTTTTTTGGTGTTTCGAGCTTTAGGGCCCTTAAAACTGTACTTGTGTTCGGTCTTTTGGAGCTGTTGGGTCTTAAGGTTAAGGTGTTTAGGCGTTTCGGGGTGTCAGGGTTTCGGGCTTTAGGGGTTTCGAGGTTTAGGGTTTCAGAGTGTTTGGGTCTTCGTGTGATTGGGCTTTTGGGCTTTAAGCGTTTAGGGGTTCAGGGGTTTAGGGGTTTAGGCGTTTCGGGGTGTTGGGGCTTTGGGCTTTAGGGCCCCTAGGGCTTGAGGGCGTTTGGGGCTTTTGGGTATAGGGGTTCAGGAGTTTAAGCGTTGGGGCTTTGGGGCTTTAGGTTCTAGGGTTTTAGAGCGTTTGGGCGTTTCGGGGGTTTTAGGGCTTTTTGGGCTTTGAGGGTTCAAGGTTTAGGCGTTTCGGGGCTTCAGCGTGTATCCTTTCGGGCTTTAGGGCTTTAGGGGGTTTAGAGGTTTAAGGTTTCAGAGTGTTTGGGTCTTCGTGTGATTGGGCTTTTGGGCTTTAAGCGTTTAGGGGTTCAGGGGTTTAGGGGTTTAGGCGTTTCGGGGTGTTGGGGCTTCGGGCTTTAGGGCCCTTAAGGGCTTGAGGGCGTTTGGGGCAATTGGGTCAGGGGTTCAGGAATTTAAGCGTTTGGGCTTTAGGGCTGTAGGGTTTGCGGCTTTAGATGTTTAGGGTTTTGGACTGTTTGGGGTTTTGGGTTTTTGGGGCTTTAAGGTGTTAAGGGTTCAGGAGTCCGTTTGGGCGATTCGGGTTTTTTAAAGCTTTTGGGCGGTATTTAATGGGTTCAGGTGTGTGGGGGCTTCGGGGCTTCAGCGTTTTGGCCTTTAGGGCTTTAGGGGTTTAGAGGTTAAATTGCTCGGCGTTTGGGTTTTTGGTTGGGTTGCTTGGCGTTTGGGTTTTTTAAGGGTTTAACTGTAGGGGTTCAGGAAATGAGCAATGTAATTAGGTATTTCGGTGTTTTGGTGTTAAGGGCTGTAGGGCTTTGGGTTCAAGGGTGTAGAGGTTCAGGGGCTTAGGCGTTTTCAAGCGTCAGGCTTTCGGGCTTTGGTGGTGCAGGGTTTTGGAGCTTTTGGGTTGTTCCGGTTTGGGGCTTAAGGCCTTAGGGGTTTTGGGGTTCGGGGGCTCAGGGGTTCAGTTCATGGATGGCGGTTTGGGAGTTTCGGGTCTTTGGGGTCTAGGGGTTTTGGGTTTTCGGGCTCCAGGGGTTTTGGGGTTTATGAGGTTCAGGGGGCGCAAAAACACATGAAATCACATGAAGACCCATGAAGACCCATGAAAACACATGAAAACACATGAAGACCCATGAAGACCCATGAAAACACATGAAATCACATGAAGTTCTGTGAAGCGGTCAATTGGTGTGCTATCTTGAACCACTCAGCCCTGATGCCCAATTTTTTCCGCCCCCTGAACCTCATAAAACCCCAAAATCCCCTGAAGCCCTAGAGCCCAAAACTCCTCCAAACCTCAAAACCCCAAACCTCTGCCTTTGCCCCTGAACCCCTGAACCCTGACCCCTCGGACTCCGGAGGCCCCCCTTAAAACCCGAAAGCCCGAAATCCCGAAACGCCTACGCCCCGAAACCCACAAAACCGCTAGTGCGATAAACCCTCGCCTCTGCCCCCTTTAAACTCCTAAACCGCCTAGCCCCCTACACCCATAAACCCCAAACCCCTGAAACCCTAAACCCTAGTAAACTAAACCCAATAAATGCCTAAATCCTTAAAGCCCCAAAGCCCAAACACCGACAAACCCAAACGCCAAACCCCAACAGCCCACAAGCCCGAAACCCTGAAGCCCCGACACGCTTGAAACCCCTGAACCCCTAGGGCCATAAGGCCTTAGAGCCCAAAAACCCAAAGCCCGATACCCCAAAACCCCGAAGCGCCTAAAACCCCTAAACCCTTGAAACCCAACAGCCAAAACGCTCTAAACCGCTAAAGCCCTAAAGCACGAAACCCTGAAGCCCCGAAACGCCTAAACCCCTAAACCACTGAACCCCAAACCCTCAAAACCACAAGCCCAAAACCCCTACAGCCCCAAAACCCTGAAGCCCGAAACTCAAAACCCCGAAACGCCTGAACCCTTAAACTCCTGGCACCTTACACATTAAAGCTCCGAAGCCCAAACACCCAAAAACCCAAACGAACTAAAACCCTAAACCCCAACGGCCCAAAAGCCCCAAAACCCTGAAGCTCCGACGCTTGAAACTCCTGAACCCCCCAAACCCTAAGACCTTAGGGCCCAAAAAATCAAAAGCAACAAAGCGCCTAAACGCCTCAACTCCTGAACCCCTATAAACACTTAAAGCCCAAAAGCCCAAACGCTCTAAAACCCTCAACCTCTAAAGCCCCAAAGCCCGAAACCCTGAAGCCCCGAGACGCCTAAACCTTTGAACCCCTAAACCCCTAAGCCCTAAGCCCTTAAAGCCCAGAAGCCCAAAATCCCTATAGGCCTAAACCCCAAGCCCTAAGTCCCTGAAGCCCGAAACCCCAAAACCCCGAAACGCCTAAACGCGTAAACTCCTGATTATAAACCCTATAAAGCCCCGAAGCCCAAACACGCTTAAACCCTAAACCTCTACACTCCTAAAGCCCTAAGCCCGAAAGGCCGAAACCCTGAAGCCCCGAAACGCCTAAACCCCTAAAGGGATAACCCCTTAAAACTTAAGAACCAAAACACCAAAAGCCGTAAGCCTGAAACCCCAAAACCCCGAAACGCCGCCTCGGCGCCTAAACCCCTAACCCTCTAAACCCCGAAACCCCCAAACCCCTAAGCCCCTAAACGTTATAGGTTTTATAGGTTTTAAAATTACAGAAACCAGCTGTTCCTACTTTATGTACCGGGAAACTAAAACCCCAACCGCTGAGACGAAACCCTAATCACCAACCGAACCAACAAACTAAACATGTGCATTAAAGGTTTAGGGGCTTAGGCCTTTAGGGGTGTTAGAGTTTAGGGGCGTAGGGGTTCAAGGGTTTAGAGCCTTACGGGTTCAGGGGGTTAGGGGTTAAGAGTTTAAAGCGTTAAGGCTTTAGAGGTGTTGGACAGCCCCGGTCATTGCATGGGTTGGAAAGAATTCGTAGTATGCATGTATTTGTGTATACCATATACCATACCATAGCATAAATAGTATATGGGTTGGGAAGCCCGGTCCTTATAATAAGGATCCTACTATTTAGGGTACCATATCAGGGTCCCCCATTTTCGGAAGCTCCCAGCTCAAGAAGCCTGGGGTCTGAATTCTTGGACCTCCTCGTTGGATTCTCACCCCCGGATTCGGTTTCTTCCTCTGATCTCCCTTTAGGGTTTAGGGTTTAGGGGTTAGTTGGGTTTAGGGTTTAGGGGGGTTTAGGGTTTAGGAGGGTTTAGGGTTTAGGGGGGGTTTAGGGGTTAGTTGGGTTTAGGGTTTAGGGTTTAGTTGGGTTTAGGGTTTCGCCCGAGCTTGAGGCCAGCAGCCGAAGCATTGGCTCGGCCCCGAGAAAGGACCATGCCCTCCAGGCGCCGCGGGACCATCCCAGAGACTCCTTTGTCACTGTTGGGGAACATTTTACATTTTTATGGGTACTTAAACCCAATAAGGAATAAAAATGTACATTTTTAATCCTATCCCAACAATGAACTAGACTCCAATATCCCGTAATTAAGGAATATTCCTTAAATTATAGTAGGATCCCTAATATGATTTAAGGAATACAGGGATATTGGAGTCTCTGGGATGGCAACACTTCAAACTGTGGGTTTTAGCATCCCCAGCAGCCCAAAATCAAGTTGTATTCCCCTGGGAGGATGTTCCAAAATGAATACTAATCAGGTGGGATCCAGCAATTCGTGGACTCTTCGTGGTTTACACTCATGGACAAGAAATTGAGGCTTTCCACTACCGACTGAAACGAAAACTTGAGCCTGCTTCGAGCTTCAAGACGTCAAAGTTCAGAATCAAGTTCCCGTTTCTATTGGATTCCGTCATGCTGCCCCGTACTAAAACGCATAACACGCATAGGAGGGTTAGTCCTACCTGTGTCATGCACGCTGAACGTCAGTTGGTAGTTGGGGCCCACCATGCCACCCATAGCCTACTTGTGCTGCCGTCGGGGCCAGCGTGTTCTACGCACCCCATTACCCATAGTCTAAGAGCCTGCACGGGACAAGGCATCGGCTATGGCATCCTTTGCAGGTGTCGCATTCTTTGTTTTTTGCAGTCCCGGATAGGAGCACCGATAGAGTTAAGGCCCAAGCGTCGAGTGCCTTTATAGCAGGCAACTCCAGGGCCGGGAAAGCCGGGCCTCCCTGCAGGAACTCAAATTCTCGATCGGATGGAATGCAAGCTTGCTCACCAGGTGGGAGTTTCCGAAAATGGGGTCACCTTATTTTGGGATCCTCATAATAAGGATCCTACTATTTAGGGTGCTATATTAGGGTCCCCTGTTTTTTTTGAAACTCCCAGGTGCCCCGGCTAGCAACTTGACCAGTCCACATTTCACGAAGGCAACAGATCAGGGTTTAGGGTCTAGGGGTTTAGGTTTTAGGGTTTAGGGTTACTTCTGTGTGTGTGTGTGCATTTCTTCAGCGGCGGAATCTGAAAAATGTGGAAAGTTTCGCCAAAACCCCCTGGGGTTCGGCTCATCGGGGGTTCCCCTGCATTTGGCCCCCTAGTTTGCAGTTTCCGCATCTTGCAGGCCATACGCTACGAGCTGAAGGTGAATCCCAAAAAGATCTGGGAGGAAGGCGCCTTTACAAACCTCCCGAGAGGACAGGCGGGGGGTTCTTAGTTCCTTCCCGACAGTCCTACTCTTATTACTAGTATTACTTATTATTACTATTATTACTTGTTATAACTATTATTATTATTACTTGAGGCATCAGCCTCCGCACGCTCCTCGAAGCAACAAGCCTTGCATACTTCACGACCCAACAATACGGTACGTCGCTTTCCCCCCAGCAGATCTGCTTTCCAACCAAGCTCATAGCGCTTCAGGTCACTCGACGGCGCATTGGTTCACGTGAAACACCTCTGGATGCGTAGCATACGCAAATGCCTTATACTTTCGCACCTTATATGCTGTAGATTGCAGCAGTGCATGCCGTGACACACAGGTGTGTATTGTGGAATGCAAGGATTCATTGAGAATGCGATACAGGAGCCATGTGCGTATTTTGAGGGGGACTGCACGCAAAAAAAGGAAAACGAAAGGCAAAACAACACAAAGCGACAATGCAGACTATCTGGGGATCAAGGGCAACTTACCAAGAATTAAATCTGTCATCAATCTTAGTACACCTCTGCTAAAGTCACTTCTTGGGCCGGCCCATCCCGGAGGAGTCCTTTTAGGGTGGAGGGTTCAGGATTCAGGGTTGAGGGCGACCAGGTGTCCTTGCAAGCAAGCCTGCAGCAGAAAGGGGTTGAGGGCTTCGGGTTCAGGGTTTAGGGAGTTGAGAAGCTAGGGCAGAATACCTGTAGAACGTGAGTGCAGAGCAACTGAGCTGGTTCAGAAATTCACTAAGTTATTTATGGAGCGCTGTCACTCTTACATGACTCTAGAATGGATAACCTACTTGTACTCCTCAGTTGGAGTTTGAATATACCGTGCAGTATCCGTATTTTTGTAAGGATGCAAGACCGACTTGGTAATCCAGATACTGCAGGCAGGCGGAAAAAGCCGCGGCTCCGAGAAATCTTAAGTATGCGAAATGCCACAGACTGAAGGAGACATGCCGCTGCAGTCCAGAAAAGCAAAAATTGGTTTTGCAAGGACAACAAAGCGTCTAGCCTAAAGACGGGTTCTTGGTCTATCGAAGAGAAGGTTGGTTTCAGTTGTTGATACACCCTAGGAAGAAGCCGGTTTCTTGGGTTCCAGGAAAAAGGCAGCTTGTGTGCATGTTTACCCGGTTTTCTTGGGAAAGTATCGGTTTCTGCCGGTGGGACAACATCAAGTACACAGTGTTCTCCTAGGCAAAAAAGTGCTTGACCAAATGTTATGCGTTGGATCCTCTTTTTCTAGTCCAAAGTAACTGGCCTCCACCGAGCAATCGATTGCTCTTGCTTTTGAAATCCGGGGCCACGCTCTCACCAGATACAGACAAACGAAGTCTCTAAGCAGGTTCAACCTGTGGAAGAAGTTCAGCAGAACTGACAAAACCTGCGTGGGTACATTTACTAGAAAGCTTCAATCCAAAGATCATGGGCGAACTTAACACATGGTCATATGGAGTTTACTGGACTGCGAATGAAAGCAATGATACTACGTACAAGCGCTGCTTGTTCTCTCCCGTTGCATCGTAATGGCACGAGTTCTGCGAAATGTTACATTGCCGAGTGACAACAGAAGAGCCACCGCATCTGAAACAGCACTGTGTTGGAGTGGGTGAAGGGAGAGGCTGGGTTTCGAGCGGCAAGAGCAAAGATCAAAGAAAAATTAGCGACACGAGTACTAAACTGGTCCAGCAGAAATGATGGTGAGACAAGACATACGAGTCTAAGACGCACAAGCTTATCACATGAATGGTGAGGTTCATTCAGTACTCATTCCCAGTACTGCCCCAGGTATATTTATGAATCATCACAGGGCACCCCCTATACCACATAATAGCAAGCACCCGAAGAGGTGAGCGACACTTTGTGATTCGGATTTGACGGGAACGACCTGCTGCTCGCTTGTACAAATGCATGTAGGTCCGAACAGCCGCCAGCAGCAGCACCAAACACACAATTATAAATTTGCCCGCGTTGCTAGCATGTAACGGCCGATGAGGCCAATGCGGCAGTTTTGACCCGTCACCATCTCTGAGGGACGGCCACCCGATCCATCGTGGATTCAGAGCTCACCATTACATTCTCGTGTGTGGCAAATCCCTGGAGGTTTCCCGCACACCATGGGGAAGTACAACAAGAGAATTTGTTGCAAGAGCTCGAAAACACAGCAAATACCGATGCTTCTGCAGTTACACAACAATGCCAATACTTGTAGCTTGGAAGTACGTGAGTGCAGATGTTAGAAAGGAAGGTTGAGGCATCAATAGAACAACGAAAACTTGCAAACACTCCAGGTTTTGTCTTGTGCGAGTGCGGAGCACTGCTTGAGAACATCGCGAAAATCTGGATTTCATGGTGTATTCGCGACAGGGGAGCGGATTCACTGGTATTTGCAGCCCTTGGTACACATCGATAAAAACACATAATCACAATAGTCGTGGCTTTTGGTTGTGTGTGGGTTCAGAGGTTTTTTTTTGAGGTCTGAAATAAAACATGCAAGCACTTGAGGTTTTGTCCTGTGTGGGTGCGGAGTGGTACTTCAGCACATCGCGAAAGCCCTGCGTTTCATGGAACAATTGCAGCATGGGGAGTGACTTAGATGGATTTGCAGCACTTCGTACACATCGATTAAATCTCTCAGTCCTGAGTGTCCTGGTCCTTTGCAGTGATTCGGTTTAGAGTTTTGGACGGGTTAAAGGCTTGAGATCTGCAATCTTCCTTGTGTGTTCACTGTTCATGGGGTTCTGGATTGAAGGCTTGGGTGTGAGCATGACCCTCATCAGCATATGACCATATTGTCAACATGTTGTCGGCATTTATCAGTTGTTGCCAGCATCATTTCGCCATCGTCATGTTGTCAGCACCACGTCGACATCAGCCCCGCCCCGCCCTGCACCTCCACACCCCCCACCCCCTCATCATGTTGTCATCGTCCATCGTCATGTTGTCAGCACCATGTGGTCATTGGCCTCCGCCTCATCATGTTAATGTTATCAGCACCATGTCGTCAACCCCCCCCCCCCCCCACGCACCCCTTGTCATCATGTTAATGTTGTCGTCGTCATGTTGTCAGTTGTCAGCACCATGTCGTCATTAGCCCCCCCCGTGGCCTTCAGAGGGAGCTGAAAAATCCAAGCTGCGAAGTCCTGAACACAAAGTATCTTAAGGGAAACCCCCGGGAACAGACTTTTCAGGGGGTGCGAGGTAATCCTAAAGTGGGGCAAAGCACATGGACTGTTGAGCCGCTCTCCAGGATGTTCTGTCAAGAAGGATGGGCCCGAAACGCATCCTCTCTTCAGCACCAAGCTGCAAGACACGGCTGGGCAAGTAGCGGGAGTGTGGCTTGATCCGGAAATGCAGCAACGTTCGAGTCGCACAACGCAGGAGCCTCGTAGTCCTGCCTGGCGTTCTGATATTTCATCACACACTTACAAGTAGATCCACCGGAAGCTGACAATGAGTTCCTTCAAGGAAAACCTGCAAGGTAGCCAACAGCGAGGTCTTCAAATTCAAGCCAGCGACTATTGGCATCACATCACGTACCCAAAACCCGAAGTTCGTTGAAGCCTGGTGGAGTTTTAGAGCTTGCCACAGGGCTAGTTCTGAATCGAGTCGGCGTCACCTCCGTCAGATGTTCATCTTGACTTCGGCTTCGCATCTTGCCTTATTCCATAGATCATCTTAAATCCTCACGTTCACCTTCAACCGAGGTTTCCCATTTGCAGGCCAGCGAGGTACTACATTGCGCCAAAGTCAGCAGGTGCCTTGCTTCAGAGCTACTGGACCGTCGTCAGCCAATACCTTGCAGCCTGGGAAGTCATGGGACGCCGCACTTCTTCGACTGAGTTGCGTTCGCATTCGGACGGGATCAGTTCGAGAATACTGCAGCAGAGCCAGGTATTTGATCAGATCCATCGCCACATTTGAAATTGAAGTGTGTAGTCTTCTTTTGGTATACTTGTAGCGCAGAGTATAGAAACCTCCACGCTTCCAGGAGAGTGTGGCTCGGGCAGCGAGATTCGAAACCGTGACGAGTGCGTTCGTGCCCACCTTGCCCTGTCAAAGGAGTATACAGGGGTTACAAAGCGTGCCACGGAGAGTTGAAAGCATGCTTGCATGATCTGTTCTGACAGTTCAGGGACATGTCTTTGACCATGTTGACCGTTCGGGAGAGGACTTCGGGTCAATTTTGACCAGTTGCACCTTGCGGAGAGGCATTACTATGGCTGGATGTTCACGTCCTTCCCCCACCCTCTCTTAAAGCACCCTTCAAGCCTTCAACCCTAAATCTCAAGAAGCAAAAACATTGCAGGGGGCTTGGTCCCTCGACCCATAAAGTCGCCGTGGCGCTCGGTGCACTGGCAGACGAATTCCGAAACCCCGAGCGCTTACCCAGAGACTCCAATATCCCTTAATTAAGGAATATTCCTTAAATCATATTAGGGATCCTACTATAATTGAAGGAATATTCCTTAATTAAGGGATATTGGAGTCTTTGGGTTACCGGAGGAGATCAGGCGGGTCTACGGTGCTTGGCGCTCCATGGGCCTGGTGACGGAGGAGCAACGGCTACGGTTGATGATGTAAATCCTGCATTACCTTAAGGACCCTAGACTATGGGAGTTATGGTATATTCCCTGCTTTGGGTAATGCAGGATTTATATCATCAACCGTATCACGGTAATGAGCCATTGGTCTTGTATTGTTACCAGCGGGAAGCACTCGTTTTTTTGTGTAGTCGGGCTAATGCAAGCGTGCGTGACATACATGACCAAGATACCGCTCCTATAAAAAGCCACACCTGCGCACGCAGTGAAGCGCAGCGGAAGAGGTGTACATCAACAGTACCTATGCAGTTCGCTGCGTGGCGATCAACACGAACGCACTCCTTACACACTCTAACACGATCAGAACTAACCGACCCGTCAGGGTGATGATGCAGGGCAAACAGGTGCTCGATGAACCAGCACCCTAGTGCTGTGAAGTGCAAACGTGGAAAGACAGCACCGACAGTGCCTTCAGAACGCGGGTGCGATACTCGGTGCCAGCCGCCGTCTTTGGCCTGGTGGTACTCACGGCATCTTTGAAAGACCCAGACGATGTGCTTTGGGCTGTGAGTCCCGATCCTCGCAATGTCATTGCAACCATGTGGTCGCCGTAAAGGCGACAAGGGGACCTGGTATTGGCCCTCCAGAGTCCGAAGAAGGTGGCTCAGCCGGCTTTGGAGGTGCTGCTAGCAAGGCCAAACACATGGGTGGCGCGCTGTCCCATTCTGCGACCGAAATGTAGGAGCGCGGGTCGGGTCGTTGTCCTAAAGACGCACAGGTGGCGGCGTACCGCCTCATGTCATGACCTAAAGCCCGATACAATCCTTGACCGGAGGGTGAGAATTATGATGATTCTGGAGGCGTCGTCGGGCGAAGATGCGGTAGCTCGAGGGATTCGCGGGCGTCGTCGCTTTCATGTGCACTCCTGCATCTTGCGAAAGGCTTTAGCTTCACTGAACCTGTCGGGATGGACCTAGCTGCACATGATGAACCCGTGCATAGTGTCGCGGACGTCCTGGCAGGGGCAGTGATACCCAAAAAACCCAGGACCCCTGCCGCTGCTCACTTCGAAGGTTCAGTGCGATCGAAGCAACGCAGAAACCAAAACCTTCAACAACGTGCTGGTGTGGTCCAGGACATCGAGGACGGCGCCCCGCGCTGGTGCTCTGTGGGTGGGGGCCCAGAAGCCCGTCCGACAAAGCTAACCGCTAACTCATAGCCATTTCATAGCCATGGAGTCAGATCGACATGACCGCAAAATCTATACACTGTCCGGCATGTTCAGCCCTTCATATGAAAGGGTCATTGGAACGTGCAAGTAGGGGCGTCCCTGGACCATGGATATGTTTAGGTTTTGGGATTATAGAGCCATGGATATGTTTAGGTTTTGGGATTATAGAGGGATTGAAAAGATTACGAATATTGTTCAAACTTTCTTGTGGATGACGCGGGGCTTCCTTGAGGAATACCCATGCAGAGTAGATGTCACATGGCATGACACTCATTTTCATATGCGCCTAAAAAACCTTTGTCTCAGGATACCAGTGCCTACTTCAACTGTGCCGGAGACAGCTTGGCCCTGACAACAAAGCGCCGCGAGCCCCCTGCCTGCAGACCGAAAGTAGAAGAACACGAACGACAAAATAGATGGATAAAGGAGTTTCTCGCAAGCAGGGTCTGGATACATGTGCATCACAGGGTAGCGTCTCGTTGCCACTGCGTTCAGCAAAAAAACATGTGCGGAATATCAAAAACCCATTGGATTGAAAACCCGTGCGAGAAGAAGCTGCCTGTTCTCATTGAAAACTGAAAGCGAAGGTTCGTGTGTTAAATTTCCAATAACTCCATGTTCAAAACCCTATAAGCTGTAAAACCTTCGGAGATCTTTATAGTAGTATCCTGGAGCTAAGGATTCAGGGCAGGTACCGCCCTATCTGCAAGGCCAGAGATGCGAGGGAAGGAGCACTTTTCCTTCTCCACTGCTCTTAGTAAGAGCAACGATTGCGACTGTGAGCACCAGTGGTCTTGCTAGCTTTAGGACTCTACGATCACACATTCTCTTCTGGTGGCATCAGCTGTAGTTGTGCTTTGTGTTCTAGACATTCTTGCAATAATCACAGAAGTACCACTGCAGTGCAAGTAAACCATCTGACTCGCCTGAGGCTTTAGTCATGAGTCAGCACCTGAAGCCTTCAGAACAAGCCGTTCGGTGCACAACGGCCAGGTGCGCGTCACAAACGTCGAAAAAAATGATAATTCTGCTTGCGATCCAGGCGGGCAGCCCTCACACCACGGACCATTAAACCTCAGGGTTGAAAGCTGAGCGTCTGGAATGGTAGTGGTAATGGTACGGCAAGACATTCCGCTGCACGATGGCTGTGACAGTAGATTCAACAGCATGAATTTGCATGGTGGTACTGTGCCTTGAGTTTGTAATGTAGCCAAGAAAGACAGGACTCGACAAGCAAGGTTGCGAATCGTTGACACGTTCGAGAGAAACACTTGAATCCGTTTCGGGTGTGATCCAATGTCCCACGGCCGAGAGTGCAAGGTCTTTTTGGCAGGATGTGCACCCTAGTGATTTCGCAATATAGGGAACTCCAGAAAGTTGGAATATGGTTTCATGGTAGGATACCCTATAATTTACCATAGAAGGGTTAGGATAATCATATTCCAACTTTCTGGCTTTTACCTTAGTGGTTTGAGACATGTCCACCCTGAAGGACCGCCAAAAACGAGGTATGTGCTGCTCTCGCTGAGACTTGGAATGGCGTAGAAAGACGGCCCGTTTGGATAGAACCGCGTATTGGGTCCAGCCAACCCTCGGCCTGCAAAAGGGCTGTACTCTTCCACGGGCAAGTTAGCTCGGCTACAGACCACGCATCCACACTGCATTCTGGCAAAGGTCTTCAGGGTGAAAGGGAAATGATAGGGCCCTGATCTACCATTGCGGGCGCCAAGTCGAAAGTTCCATGGCCAGTGGTCAAGGCTTGATTTGTTCGACCTGGAATCAAGAGCGAGGACGTGTCGAGCACAGAAGCTTGTGAGTGTGTGAGCATAGGCAAATTTCATATGAATTGAGAGTGATAAGACAGATGGGGAGTCAACATAGTTGACTAGTCAGGCTCTCACTTGACCATGTAAGAAACGCCGGGCCCTCTTCTGCACATTCCCAAATGCCCATACGTGCTACATCCTCTGAGAAATCATTCCCCCTTAGCAAAGGCTTGTTTCAATTGAAAATGTCAGAACAGACCACCGGAGCGGAGCATCTGGTGCTGGGAGAATTCGTATTTTGAGAATGAACACAGAATCCAGGAATGGCTGGAAGAGCCTGCCGGCCAGCTTGACGTATGACCCGTCTTTCAATCGAGCGGACGTGGTCGAGACAGCTTCTCGGCAGCGAGACTCAGACTTGAAAACATTGGTGCAGGTGGCGTCTCGTCCACTTTAGCACGGCCCTCAACCAGAGGGCAGGACAGTACACATCTGCTACTTTGTGTAATCGGCTAACAGTGACACAGTAGCAGTATAGAAGGACACTGCCTTCCATTATCCTTTCGGGTCACATGAGCTGGGTTGTCTGCCAAAAACATGCCGATGGTCTTTCATGTTGTCAAGATTTGCATGCTGTGGATCTCTTTGGACTGAGATCCTGCTATGCTGCAGAGACTTCCGCGGAGCACTCATCTACAAAGAGAATGGCGAATGCATCAAAGGCCACTTGGTTGCAGCCACTGCCGAAAGTTATCAGATTGGTTGGGGACTCGCATTAGCAGCAGTAGCAACAGTCACAAGGTCATGCACAATGGAAGCGAGGGGTGACGAGCATCACTGTGATTACAAAAACCTCAAGGCATCCTATGGATCAATGTTAACAGGGACATTTCCGGAAACTATGGAGGTTTGGACTAGTGGCTCAGTGGCTGCTTTGTTCACAGGAGACCTGCAGACGCATCCCCTCAGCCTGAGCAGGGTTTTGCAGGGAGGGTTACTGGATGTTAGAATTTGCATGTCACTTAGAAGCCCTGGCCTGTTGCGGCGTGCCTTCGCATGTTGACCAATTCAACAACAAAGGAATCTGACTCCACAGGAGAAGTCTAACTTCTGCAAGTTACAATCCCCCACAGCCGACACACAGGCTCCTTCCGGTATGGGAGTTTCCGACACTAACCGGCAGTTAGAAAAAGGGGCCCGCACAAAAAACAAAAGCAACACTCCTGTGAGCATAGTGAGCACGGAGTTGATTCCAATGCTGGTTCTGTCACCAGCATAAGGGGCTCTGCAGATCTTGCGGTTCGAATGAAACCAAAGCTAGGCTTGTGGTGAGTCTAGTGGAGTGAGGCATTTTGCCGGTCATGCTGCACTGAAGGATGCCATCAGAACACGATAGAACAGATAGCTGGTGTAACAAAAGACGCCACAGTCACAAGCGTGATACTGCTTGTGATGCGTCTCCGGAGCAACAGTTACAACGACCGAGGACTCCTACAAATGAAGAGGATACACACCTCTCGATTTGTTCGTGCATTTGCGGTAGTGGGCTGAATCCTTGCAGGATCAGCGGCGACAACGGCCATGGGAGAATTGAAATAATGTTGGCACTGCAAATAGATAAAGCAGTGAGACGGACGATGAGTTGCTGTGTAGACTTATGACACAGGAACTGTACTCTAAGCAACAGCTGAGCACGAAGACTTGTTGGCATCTGTAGCTCGTTAAGTTTCTTGAACCCCTAACCTGCAGAGTTCTACTTTGCTTGAACTTGTAATGCTGCGAATTGCTGTAATCAACTTTAAGATTTGAGTCTGGACCGCCTGCGCCCAGAATGTTCAGGTCTGTCATGGAGTTCGGCGAAATTTGAGTGCGGAGAACGGGGCGACAGGCTTCTTGGTTCAAGCAGAGTTATAGGGCTTAAGGCTGACCGGTGACCTGCCGAGTTTGAGGTTCTACAGCGGACATGAGCAGGAAAAGAAACAGGAAAGTCGTTGAAACATCTGCGGAGTCCGGCAACCCCAAACCCTACACACCTGGCTAAAGGTATATGGGCTGCCACCGGAGTAATTGTCTGGAGAGTGTTGCGGAACAGAGCGTAGGGTTGCTTGTCTAGGGATGTTAGAAAATGCTACACGACATATGCTTTGGTGTAATAAGTTTTGTCTTGGCCTCCAGGCTTTGCGGGAGAGCTGAGATTGATCCAGATGCCGCAAGGGCCAGGAATTTCGTGAAAAGCATTTGCGGCGTGGACCATCCTGTGTGGATCAACGAGCTCCGCTAGCCCGGGCCCTGAGGGGAGAGCCCTGGCCGGAGTATTAGTCAATAGAAGATATATATATATATATATATATATATATAAATATATGTATGTATGTATATTATTATAGATATTATTCAGTAGATTGCTTCGAAACAGCTAGAGTGTAGGAGATACTAAGTTGTCTTTGCGTCCCGCAGGATGTGCGGGAGAGCTGAGATTTATCCAGATGCCAATTCAGATGCCACAAGGGCCAGGAATTTTGTGAAAAGCGTTTGCGGGTGGACCACGCTGTGTGGACCCTGTAATACCGTGCAGACGCTTTCGAGTGTGCCAGCCCTGTACGCAAATCCAGAGACTCCGAAGACTTGCACCTTCCTTGCATGCGAAGCGCCATGTTAGGCGCATGGATGCTTGAGGACGTGAAGCTAAGGGCTGGCAAACTCGATAGGTCCGATAAGATCGAACGCTCAGTCGTTCAAATTTTGTTTTCGGACGGCGTGCTTCGAGCTAGTCCACCAGTTTCGAGCGCAAGTGTTGTTTAGACACTGGTGCAGTGCTCACAGCCTTTAGCCTCTGAGCGCTCAAGCGCTGGCCAAGCCAACAGCTCCCCGATGAGGGCAACACCTTCCTTGCATGCGAAGTGCCATGTTAGGCGCATGGATGCTTGAGGACGTGAAGCTAAGGGCTGGCAAACTCGATAGGTCCGATAGGATCGAACACTCAGTCGTTCAAACTTTGTTTACGGACGGTGTGAGCGAAGCCTGGCACCTTCCTTCCGAAATGCCGGAATCAAAAAGATCGGATACCCAGTCGTTCAACTTTTGGATGGCCAACAACCAGAGCCAATAGCTTCCCGATATCCAAATCCTCGAAAGATTGAGATTGCTCGTGGGGTCGGTGCTATCGTCTTGGTGTATATCATGTTCGGAGTGCTAGCACCACAGCAAGACCTCGGGGTGTGTTGAGCCTTGCTTCACATCCAGGGCTGCCTCTGCACTGGAGCTAATGAGGTTAATCGAACACATGACGGGGAAGAAGGATAAATACATTAATTTATCCTCTACTCGATTTACG